CAACAAGAAAAGTGGCTTACTGCGTTCGACTGACACCGAGGTTATTGCTTCAGGAAGAACGCAGTGCCATTAATTGACCAATTCGCGTAGGCATTCTTCCTATCACTGGCGCCTAACCAGAACATTCCTATACAAGAAAAAAGGAAGTTCCTAGATGAGCTATTACATTACGAAGCAAATCCAACGCTGTGGCGCCCTGCCTTCGAGTACGCTTCAGCGGGTATCATAGGGCACTTGGGATTTCTCCATTACCAGTACCAATACAAGACCAGAACACGAGTGTTCCAGGACAACAAGCATGATAGGAGGAGCTGGGGAAGGTGGAGGGTAGACAAAGAAATAAGTGCAGAGTGAACAACGAGATGAGACAACCGATCAGTAGAAGAACGAGAGCGCGGTAACTAGGCGAAACCAGGGGAACATGTTGGTAGCGTGCGTAAGTTACAAGCCTTGCTGCGCCAGGGAAACTCACCAGTTCACACCAAAGCGAGAGCGAGCAGGTGGGAGACGAGAGCAGAACTCCCCCTGCAGAAGCTACCGCCATGCTGGAGGCAAGTTAGGACCCTCGTCCTCAACACTGCAGCATGGCAGAACGAGATGGACCGCTCCGAGTTGCAGGTGAGCGGCGATTCCCGTGAATAGGAGGAATTTATATTATTATATAGTCGGTGATCGATATGAAATAATAATCGAACGATGACCTGAAACTTAAAGCGCTATCTATATATAGCGGCGGAATTCAAGGTCCTTGTCGTCCCACGACCGGTTACACTTGCACAAAGACAAGTTCGTTCGGCTCTCAAGTCGCCCGGAACACTCAATCTGGCAGCCAGTGGAGTTTTTTGTGAGGGGGGTTACGCCGTTATGTAGGCTAGACACCGGCACAACCATTAGAATTTGATTCCACGTATTGTCCAGGTATCGATTGTCCCTTCTCTGCTCTGCCCGTTTTATTGAACTGTCCAGCTGTCCAATTGCATGTCCACCTTCCACGCTCGGCATCAACATACTGTCTTTTGTCAGCTCACGGAGGTCACCAACTAGCTGCAGTTTATCCGGTATCAAACACCTCGAATTTGGCTGGCATCTCAGTGCATACTTTCTGATTTCAGACTGAATTTCAAGGCGCCCTTATCATCTTGCGTCAAACTCTGCCACGAGTTGGATTCTGCTCATCAGACACCTTTGGGCTATTGCTCTCGATTCCAAAGTACTGCTGTAGAGCTCGCCGTTCATCCGACATCATACATCTCGTGTTTGGTGCCGTCGCTCGCGGTTTACACTGGGAACTTAGTCATCATTGGTCAACCACCACCGGGGCTCTAACCATCATTGGGGAGTCTGGTTTCTCCTTGGGGTTCGCCGTTTGATGGTTATCTAACGTCATAGGCCTCCGGGTCAGCCTTGGCGCTGCAAACTCATGGTGCCATACGGACATCCTTATATAAGGCAAGCGAGATACTCTCTAACCCTGATACCTACGCACATACCCTTTGTCATCGCCATCAACCGCTAGTCTCCCGGAAGACTCGACGAGCTATCTGCTTTCATTTCATTGACGTCACTAGAGAACTGGCTGCTTTGAGCGGATGGTTTGACAACCTCCGCTCCACTGATGGGGATCTGAGCCTGTCATATCACCGGACCAATGATGTGCCAGAGGAGCTGCATTCGACTCAGAAGGGAAGCAACAACCTGCTGACTCGACGAAGCATAGCATTTTCTGATGTCTAGCTTAAAAGTAACTAGATTAATTCTGCGTAAGATAACGGGAATGAATGAACATAGGGGTAGTTCTTGAGCACGATACGGCGAAAACATTGCGATGGTTTCCCGTGCGTTAGTATAAAAGGACACGCTTCTTGAAGTTAACAATTCATTGAATCATAATGAAAATAGCAGAGTCATCCAAACTAGATTGAATGCCTGATACCAAGATAAGTAAAGAGCCCAGCAAGTGAGGAAGTCAGGTCTTGTCATTACAGGTCGTCATCAAGCTAAAGAGAGTGTCTGCAAGACGCGAGTAAAAATCAGCAAAACAGGCGCGTACACAACGAGACGCCGATCCTGACGGCTTACGCACCACAATTTGTGACCCAGATGAGCGCTGGTAACGCCCGTCGGATTGGCCGTGAGGTAAATCGCCTGTCCAGTTGCATCCACAAGATTGAGATCGCTGGCGTGCCTACACGGGATTGTCCCAAGTAAGCGAGTGTGGATAGAGGGCTTGACCCCCCAAGGACGCGAATCCCGAATGGAACAAAGAAGACACTCACTGCTATCATGATTTACCCACTTGGGTGCAATATTCTGAGATGAGGCGTCATAATCCCAGATCGCCGTCTCGTATTCGTCTCCAGCAATGGAAACTCCACCGCCAGATTGAGGGGTACTATTGGGAGAAGCTGCGTTCGGATGGAATTAGATCGGGTTAGGCTGGTGGATTGCTCCCGGATTTACTTTGCACAGAATCTCCCAAAGTAGCAAAATTCTGATTTGTCGTACGGAGTGGGGAACCCGGCGAGACAAGACCAGCCAAATAGGGATGAGAACTCGGAGCATTCTGGAAAGTTGCATTTAAAAAACAAACTTAATGGTGATGTAGAAGAAAGAAAGAAAAATTAACCCACAGTGTCCTTAAAGCTCACGCTCTGAGTGATACCACTTTGAAATAACGTGGCCGTAAACGTATCGGCGCTTGATGCCTTGCCTACGATATAGCTATTGATCAATCCCAGAAGAGACAAAAAAGCGCCAACTCAGATGCGATACAACTTGGAGAAAGCAGACGAAACGCTCACCGGTCCTGAGCACTGGTCAATGTGAGGTACCAAGGGCCCCACCACCCGACGCGCCAGTTACTTTAATTCTGCCGCTCCAAGTCGTTGTGCCGCTGCCCTGTGCCCTTTTGGCCGCTGGGAATCAAACCATATTGGAGTCATATTTTCGTACGTTTGTGAATGTGACGGCAGACGTACCGTCAGTTCGTGAGGCCCTAATATTCCTCCTCCAAGCTGGTGGTAAAGGAGGCAGGCCGTTCGCGAATCGCTTCGCGTTCGTTTCTCCGTGCACAGGGTCCCGAAGCTGAGGTGCAAGGCGGCGTAACTCCCGCCTGTGGGCGGGGAAGGCGAACACGGAAGCAGTGAAGAGGAGAAGGAAGAAAAGAGCGCGCCTGAACATGTTGGACAACCCCACTGTAACTTTCCCAGAAAAGAAAACAGAACAAAGGAGGCAAGCTTGTTCCGCTGGTCGTGAGCGCCGCAGAGGGGGGAGGGTACCAGTGAATGACCAAGGGAAGGCTTTTAAATGAGGAATCCGGGCTCATCCTGCCGTGAACAGAAGAAAAAGAGAATGGAATGATCTTGGTGGAAAAATGTCACATATTATCAAATAGTACAGCGAAATCGTCTAATTCGGTCGCAGGCACATTCTCACCCCTTGCTCATGCAACATAACGTATTCGGGACCTTGGGCCTGGCCCCCATGGCTATTATCCAGACAGACATGGCCCGCATGGAGGACATGGGTATGTCCATACCCTCTGGCATTGTGACATGGCCCTTCGCGGCGAGAATTTGCGGCGAGATTGTATAGTCACTGCCGCCTTGGGATTCGTCCAGCAATCCTTACACGCAGTGAGCCCTATGCAAATGTCAAAACTGCAATTGAATATGGAAACATCAAGCCGAGCTGCCTATTTAGGTTACTCCCCCAATTTCACATCCGGCAATACATTTCACAATGCTGGGGTCACGTTTTCAGTGTCCCTCGTTCCCAGTTTTTTGTTTTTATTTGGTTTTTATGTCCTGAGAACATGAGACTCACATCGTGTCCCTCCTTTCAATTTCACACGTCCTGCCCGATTTCACTAACTCCTCATACACTCCCCACTTTGTCCAACGTTTGGCCCCCGATATGTACTGGATTCCAACACGTCCAGCTACATGTCTCCTGCTTTCTCTGTCTGTCTTGGTAGCCACTCGTCTCACTGCTCTACGATCGACACTCCCCCAGGTTACATCAGTCATCTATCTATTGGTTTATTGATGAGGCACCGTTTTCCGTCATCCGTCGCCCCTTGATCATCCGTTCCCCTGTCGCTCGTTCATCCATCAACCTTTCAGGCACCGATTGTCATCACATAACCTTCCTTCTGAGGACACTGAATGGATAAAATGGAATGGATGGCTGCGCCCCTTACGTCCTGGCCTGCATTGATACTGTAACGGATAAATCGACTTCTCGAATCTAAGTGTTAAAACCGCCCGCGTGGTTACGGGAGAGCAACCGAGCGAGCACACGAATGTGTCCCCGGCGTCCTGTGGCCAGTTACAGCCGAGAAAACGGATGTGCTGGAATACCGTTTTGGAAGTAGGGACTGAAGCATGCCCCAAACGCAACAGGCTGCTGCACTCTGAATGCCTTAACGCAACGTGGACCCCGATCAGGGGCCGACAACGAAAACTAATGCACAGCTTGCAAGGACGCACATTCACAGGTCCAAGTCTGTTAAGTGTCGAAATGAGTCGGACACTTGCGCATAAACGCCAATTGTGGACAGATCTCTGAGCGCGAGGATTGGGGTCCTTAGAATTATTGATTGAGCATACTTCCTCCCCGTGGCGCCGTTTCCTCCTATACCATGACTCGTATCTTACACGGCTGGTCTGGCGTGGTGACATAATGCTGGTTCCAGGTGGCCCTTTGACGCCCGAGTTCAGCTCGATAAGATTATGGCACCGGAAAAAATGCAGCTCGATTGGTTGGCCGGTTAGCGTGGGCAGTAGGTTGGGTACACGGGGGACTGAACTGTCTGGGAGTCGGAATCATCGGGTTTGACTTCGGTTCTGTGACTACTAGTAGTTCCGATGGATCTAGAACCCGTCCTAGCCAGCCTTCAGGGGGTTTGTACTATATACGTATTGCTCATCTACAACTCATCCTATTTAAATAGGTAATGTCGCATATATCGGAGAGAACGAACCTAAGTCAAGGTCAAGTAGGTGGACACTATTCAAGGAAGCATTAATGCCGATCCTGGATGGACGACCGAGTGAGCTGGAAGCTGACATACATATTTCCAGATTTGTCTGGACATGTAATAATGGCTGTTCCAGTGATTCGCGTCCGCAGCACTTCACTTGTCATTATTTCCACGTTGTGGAATGGCCAACGAACAAAATATAGTCCCCAAACACGCTAAGCGCTGTGATGTCCTGACTTTCGTTCATTTCTTCCTGTGGGACGTCGTCCACTAGTACTGATTGTCCACGCGGCCAGACTCCCGTCCTCGCCACGGGAATCACCATCGTTTGGAAGCCATCAGGGTGGAGGCTTCTTACCGCCAAGAGCATGGCGTCACTCATGGCAGAGGCCGGATTCCACAGGGGCATTCACGGTAGTTGTACCGGAGCCCCCTAGCTTGAGATGTTAGTATTATTGTTGATGAATGTACTCTTGCAGGACAGCATCTTCGGCAGCTTCTGAAGAAGGTAGCGAGGCGAGCCTCCTGCGTTCAGCCGCAAGATCCAGTGGCTCAAAGGTTTGATTCCTCTGCTCCCAATATATTCCGACTCCCATCAATTTCGGAGACCAGTTCTGCGTGGGAGGTTTCGCATCACTGGACACGCAGTAACGCGTAGTGCACCTGGATGGAGAGTGTGCATCTAGCCAACAAATACTTAGCGACGTTCGACCACACAAGACCTTTGTCAAATAAGAGACGTCCCCAAGTATAGACCTGAGTGACAGGGACCTGATGACAGTTATTTCCATGGACAGAATTTCAGCAGATGAAGCGCTAATCCGCCCAGCCCACGACAGCATCTATCGGCTGACTGCGTTCGTCTCCACCCCTGACATCGCTCGCGCCATTAAAATCACTAGCCAACTGAAGGCTAGCACTCTTTAGGTCGCATTGTGGACCCGAACGTCCCCCTGGCTTGGGGGCTTCCAGGTGCGTCGGGAGTGCTCAGCAGTGTTCCCACTTGAGTCAGAACCACCGACCAAACAGAGAGCGGGGTTGGTTACAAGCTCGGACAGTTAGCGAGGCCAATGCCATGCGCCTCAACCTTTCTAAACCTTCGGTGTAATGGTGTTCGGCCATTTGTTCTTGCGCCTGGTAATCGGTGAACTGTGTCCATAGTTATTTGTCTTTTTTTTTGTCGCCAGTCAGCATAAAGGTGTCGATAGTTCGTCGCACTGGGTGCAAATTCTTCTATTTGCCCTCGGGATCTGTCCAAATTGACTAACATGCAAGTTGGTGGGTGCTTCATGTCGTCATTTTCCCCTAGTTCGTCCGCTTTCCCACGCCTCTCTTTCTTTTCTTGTATTTCGTGTAGCCCTGCATCTCTTGCTCGCTGTTTAACAACCCAAAAGAATAGGAGCGCTGGTTTCTACTTTCTTTGTAACAACGTACGGAGTCAAAACGATTGCGATGCAGGTTCTTGGCAGTCAAAAGAGCAACGGAGCCGTGGGAAACTGCACGTGGACTATATCAACTCCGGATGCGCTTCCTCGATACCGCGATCCAAGTTGCCGTAGTCACCACCTTCCCACTTTGTAATGTCACCCCCAGTAGCCGCTGTTGTCGTTGTCTCAGTCGTAGCCACCGTGGTGGTTGCCTACGCTGTTAAAGAGGCGAGCGGTTTATTTCTCCGAGGCATTTTGCTTCATGTAACGGTTATTCGTATATAGGCTTGGGAGCCTCATATCAAACCGGAGATACAGAGGGTTTCGGTAAAGGCTAAGGGTTGGTGGCACGCGCGCAAGCGCGCTTCTGGAACTGCTCCTGTAGAAGTGGCTGCGGCGCCGCCCCCTAGGCGCCATGCCTTATCAGACACCTCCAACGCACACACTTTAGGTGATAGAGAGAATCATGCCACCTCTTCGGCTCTGGAGCGTCTAATTGACAGTGTCTTGGACTCTAATCAAGTCCGGGAGCGGAAGAACAGACGAAATGACGATGCATCCACCTCGACAGGTGTTGAAATGATGGAGCTCGACAAGGTGAGATGGAAGGAACCGCTGCACACCGCGTCGTTATCTTAACCCTTTCCTTTAGTCAAATTTGCCCATCCCTCAAATCCCACTGACGCCCTTGTCATCCGCAGGAAACGCAGTCACTGCGTTGGTACAGCAGCCACCATCGATCCTGCCGAACCCGTTTGCTGATCCGAACCCCGAATCAACCAAGGCACCTGACTCCGTCCTGCATGGTTCTACTCCCACACCTCCGATTGGTGAACTGAGTAATGACCTTCTCTCCTTCCCTTCTCCAGGGGTAAGCAGACAATTTACAGACACATCGCCATCAACAAACGCCCGTCATCCAACCCTGTCACACGCATCCTCTCCCCATCCTCAGGTCTTCGCTCTTTCTCCTAACATGGACTTATCCTCACCTCCTCCTTACAACTACCTCGGCCCCTCGTTCAATATGCACAATGGCGCTCTGGGTGTATTCGAGAGCTCACCAAATGCATGGTCAGAAGCGTCAGTCTCTGCATTTTCATGGACGGATGGTGAAGTTGCGCCATCCGAATCAGGGGAGTCGCATTTGGCATTTTCCATCGGCAGTGGGAGCTTTGACGACTTGGGGATCGAAGATATCCGGAATGCCCACACCCATATGAATGAGAACGTATCGGAAGCCTCCAGCCCATCTCATCACTCCGTTAGTGACCTTGAGCCTAGGGGTGGAGGACCTCTCAGCATATCAGATTGGGAAAGCGTGGGTTCACCCTCTGCTTCAGAAGATGGCCGTGCGAAATTGAGATGATCTTGACATGTTGGCTTTGTGTTTTACTCCATTTGCCAGATATATGCTTTTGGTTTTCCCCGGTTCAGCTTCCGCATATTGTTTTCGGGTTTTGGCTGAAAACGTCTAGTGTCTACACACACAGTTCACCCATTTATGTACAGTTTCCTCACATCAGTCTTTTTTTGCCCATGTGTACACTAACTCTGTCATCTTTACCGTACTTGTCAGAACACTACATTTTCGTTAACACGCATCAACCATGTACTTTGATTCTCTTGTGAATATCAAATACAAATGACGCCCTACCAGCATGCTGTCATTATACACGCTGAATCGCGGGAAAGGAATTACAGTCAGGACGTTAGTGAATTAAAGGAATTGTGGATGGTGGGAGAAAAGGACGACTGTGGATAAGTGCGGTAAAAGTGGTTGCATCGGAATATACTGGGTGTAGAGCGGTGGGTTGTTCGAGTCCTATGGCACGGGGAACGGAGTTCATCATCACTGCGTATTATTTCGTCATAGTGCAGTCGCTTGCATCCTAGGGCTTAACGCGTACCGATCTTGTTCGCTCCCGTGTGATCGGTCCCTCGCCTCGTGGAGGTGGAGGCAAGTCTCTCACACGATCTGGCTCGTTGATGATCACATTGCCTTCCCTGCTTGTTTTTCGTTTCGCCGTGGGCAGCGGATCTATGGCAGGCCATCCCTTAGATATTCTGCTCGCCATGCGTGAAATGTCATGTTGTCCTGCTTCCAGATCCTCCTGGCGCACTGCACTTAGAAGACATTCAAAGTGGTCATCCATGGGGTTGGATATTTGGGCATCAACGCCCATGGACTCGAGACGCTTGATGACATTTGTTGATTTGAGGTCACGATGGAATTGGGCGGGGACTCGAAGAGTGACCTGTAGAAAACGCTTCATGCGATCCTGAAAACAGCAGAATAAGCGGGGCATCACCGGAAAATCACGGTGGGCACAACTCACCTCAAGCTCGCTTACCATCAAGGGAAGTTGAGCTTGAGAACCCCTAAGCTTCGTGAACTGCACTTCGGACCCGTCGCCTGGTCTCGGACTAGGCATGTTCTTGATCGGTTGTTGGTCCCAAGTTGGTCGCTTGGAGTCAGGGAATGCGATTTGAACCCCAAATCTCTTCTCAAGAACCGCAATGGATGGCATCAGTGTGCCGTCTGGATTCTTGTCGTCGTACCTTCTGAAGATGTGAGAGTTTCGCAATGCATGCACACGCCACGTGGGAACGCGAATTGCCCATATTTCGCGCATACGATTCTGCATGAATTCCTCGACCTCTCGAGTGAGGCCTTCCCTCAACGGACTTGACATAGATGGATGACACCACAGATCGACGATCATTTCTCCAGTACCCCCATTTTCACCTGGGTTCGTTCTGCCGACCGTGTCAGTCGAAACCGACTCCCGAATCCAAAGATGCTCACTCACATTGTGAACATTTGCCGAGCTTCCTCCTCATCTTCTGGCCCACCACACTGAGAGATGATACGAGGCAAGGAGATCATCAGAACCCTCCGGAGATCTTTGCTCGTTGGAACAATATAATGGGTGTGTTTTTCATCGTCTATCTGACGCGCATACGATAAAATGCTCCGGCGCGCTGATGACAGTGCGCTTTTATGGCCGGTGAGGGAAATCATGTTATTGTTCACGTCCACTGAAATCTTAGTATTCGTTTCCTTCTGAAGTCGTTGGCAAATGGCCCAAAGATGAATGCGATGTGCAGCCCGTGGGGAAACGGAGAAGTATTCTGCACCGTTGTTCTGATGCTCGCGGAACACCTTCAGGTAACAAATTTAGGTCGGCAGAGGGAGAACATAATGGTTTATACTTGCCCGATATAACTCTTGTGTCGCGTCCGAAACATCAGTTCGGGAAGAACCCTGAACTACGAAGCGGTTAGGCTCCTGGTCGATTACGACTCTGTATTTATTCTCCAATGCATCCTGACGCCATTTCGACGGGAGCCATGGATCCTCGAAAGAAAACCCTCGTGGAGGCGCTATCGCTTCCCGAAATTGGTATCTGGCGCGTCTCTGGATGTCATGTCAGCACCATAATGTTAACAAAGCCCAGGAATGACACTCCACCTCATCTCTGGCAGCAGGTGAAGACGCTCGACGGCGATATGAATCGTGCTTCGAAAACATGAATTTTTCATTGCGCGCAGATGTGGATGCACGCACGTTGACTACTTCCTTCTCAATCTTGTGCCCCCCTCGAATTTGACGCTTAAACCAGGAATCCTCGTTTCTCCTGGTGGACGTTCGCTTGACCGTAGTGAAGATTTCTGTAGGGAGTTTAGATGTAGACAGGTATATCATTGAGAAACGTACCCTCCGTCGTCGTGCCGGAGACGTGCCCAGAGTATCCGTCCGTCCCCGTGGTCCCACTGAGGACCCATTAGAGGACAGGGCTACAGACGATCTCCCCGATCGATCCTGCAGAACGTCACTGCTTCACAAGCGTATCTGGTGCACTGAGCCAACGTACCGTCGAAGGTGAGCGGCTTCCCCCCGAGCCTCTTTCGCTCCCAACACTTTTTCGAACGGATTTCCAGATTGAGCTGACAGAAGAAGCATTGCTGTTCCGCCAACCTTCCGGATCGCCTGGTATTTCTACCTGTGGTTCAGTCTAGAAGTGATAGGCTCATACCAGTCATGTTCTTAATCAGAATAAAACAGACGCTACCTTCGATCGTCGGTGTCCCCGGACTAAAGCAGACGACTGTGGTTGTGACGTCGATAAAGTTGGGAAGGGCACCGGTGGATTCGCACTCTGCGACATGACAGGTACCGAAGGGGCGCCACTGGTTGGTTGCAAGGTTGGATTGCGTCGCAAACCCCCATTAATCGGTGGTATTATAGGTGCTGACGGCAGAACAGGCGCTGAGGCTGCACCCCAGCCAGCTGACATGGCGCCCCGCTCCTCGGGCTAAATGGAGAATAGGCGCGCAGGGAGTCATAAGGGAGCAGCCGATATGAAAACCGAATGGAAATAACCGATGAGGTCAACGCAGCGCCATATAATGATTGATGACACAGGGGTGGCTGTACATACTGGCGTGTTATTCAGTTGATCCTCAGGCCATAAGCGCGGATCCTCAATTTTTCCAGAAGGTGGAGGCGGCATAATGGGTCGCGGTCGTCTGCCACGATCTTCTTGAGGTGACTCACGCTCCCATTCACCTTGACCGGCAGGAATGTCAGCAGGAACGCGGCCTCTATCACGTGTGGGTCGAATGTGAGCTGGCGCACTTGGGACACCAATGGGTCGAGAGTGTTGAATGGCAGGCGAACGAGACGATAGTTGGGGGGAGTTATTAGGGTCCTGCATAGGGAGAGGTTGATCGGGCCCATTACGTGTTTGGCGACCTGGAACTGGCACGAATGTCAAGTTTATCATCATATCCTCCACGCAACCACTTACTTTCGCTTGGCGCCTGGTTATTGAGGATGGGGACGTTCTCCTGAGAAAGGCGAGACTGGAAGATAAGGAAGATTAACGAGACATACTTGTCAAAGCCCGGGATCCTGCGACGTACATTAGATCGAGAACGAGAATGATCCGCACGAAATGGCACAGTAACTTGATATTTCGAAGAGATGCCGGCACCTTCTTCGGGTGTCCAGCCCTCAAAACCGCTAAATCTTGCCCTTCAACGGGAATATCACCAAAGTAAACCTGGAAATAGTGAAATATGTTAGTAGGCTGTTATGACGCGTAAGTGGCTTTAATTTAATCTACATCTGGACGGGTGGAAAGAGTCCTAGTTCGTGAACGAGACCGCTGGGAAGCGTCAGTGGAGACGGAGCTAGCACGTGATCGTGGCGGAGGTAACTGAAACAAGCGAATCAACAAAGTCAGAAGGGAAGGATGTGAATACTGAAGAGCAAGCTTGGGTCATTCCCAAACACATACCGGGGCTCCGCGATTGTATTCAAGCAAGTTGATGTACTTGGTGATTCGTATATCCGCATTCTTGTTGGGGCCCCACAGAGGATAATCAAGGAAGTGATGCTCAAGTGTATTCACGGCAATAATCCCACAGGACCATCCGTCAGTTTGAGATGCGTGATCGAGGTCGTTTCCTCTTCGGAGCTGGGCACCCGGTGGTAACGCATTGCACCTCGCCAGCCACAATTCGAGGGCAGGTTGAAGCAGTAGGGGCGGTTGGGCGTCCAAGGAATCCCCGAAGCGGTATTCCCCTGTCGACACGCTGAGAACACAGGCAGTCCAATGAGTCCCCTGATCGCCTGGCAAGGGTTTCGCGTCGTTGACGATGAATCCAACGTCGAGATTTCCGGATTTAACTGTTAGCCATGTTTCGGATAGGCATGGATAGTGCATCTCATCAAAAAAACCGTCATTCTCGTATAAGTGCACCAGTTCCCTCCAGAACCGCAGCGGTACAACGAGCCCTGGAGGCACTGGCCTTGACTTCATGTTTAGGGAAGTCAGTCTAACTAAGAGATCCATCTGGAGACGCGATTTGTTGAAGTAGCGAGACATGAGAACGAGATGAATGAGATCCAGACAAAGGCGAGACTTACCAAGTCATCTTCAATCCACTGATTCGATAATATAGGTAACAATCGATCTGGTTGAGGTAAATGTGCGGTGGGATCGTCGGCTTTAAGATCTGAATCTAATTCTGACCAGTTGAACTTTTTCCAGCCCTCGTACAGCCGAGGGATAAGAGGGGCGGAGCGTGGAGTCTGATTCGCGTCCAGCCACTTCCTCACTTGGTCGTACTGATCACGAATTTCGAGCATTCGGTATATCTCTGACCAAAATGTTCCAGACCAAAGTGGCCATCTACGACGATCATCATAAGGGGAAAGGATAGACCGGCCACCATCCCGAAGAGCGCGATTCAACCGCTCTCGAATCTTCCTTGTGAATGAAGGCGGTGGTATAGGTTGCCTGAGTAGATCTTGGGCCCGTTCAGATGGTCCGCGAGCAGAAAACATAGGCTCAGCGTTTGGGGGAGATCGGCACGAGGGGGGAGTTCAGCTTGGAGAAGCATTTCGATTGGGAGGGATGGATCGGGTATGTGCTGTTTCCTGAAGACAGGAGGAATTTGGGCAGCGCGGGCAGCATTCTCTGCAGCTTCTCTTGTGTCAATTCTAGGAGGGTGAGGTCGTCGATCATCAGCAGGGGGAGTGACGGGACGCGTCGAGTTTTGGCGATTTGACCTGAAGGAAGGACGAAGCGCCATCATCATGTTAGACATTGCTTCAGCCATGGCATCGGCAGCAGCTCTGCAGAGATGAGACGGCCTATATGCAGGGGCTTCAGGAGGTGTTCAGGGGTAGAAAACTGAGAGGGGAGGAAGGTCAGTGGTCGTGTGTAGTAGTTTGTTGTGATCTTGAACTCGAGGCACTAGTGAAAACACGGCAACCTCCACACTTACCAAGTTCACAAAACACTGGGTCGCTTTCACTCCCCGTTTTTCTATCGTTTGTCAAAGCATTTCCGATACAGTCTCCGAGCACGAGGCAATGGCATGCAAAGAACGCCGGGATCAGCTTCATGCAGGTGGAATGAACCGCGCGGCTATCACGCGTGGCACATTTGATCAACTGGGTTACTTGTTTGAGGAACCGCCGCTCCACCAACTGACGCCATCCACTAGCTCAAGCGCTGCCTCAGTGTCTAATCTAAACTCATCGAACAACTCCTTGAAACAAATAGAGATCTCAATGTCATTACGAATCCGATCCACGACCTCTGATGAGGAAGCCTAATACGCGTCCTCATTTCACGAAACATCCGTACATACTAGACACAGTATTTCATCCGTATCATTCAACTAAGCGGGGATAGTGCGCAAAGCTGTGCTAGGCAACCATCCCGAAACGGAAATCGGCGCTCACCCATCGATCTGACAATCTCAGCTGCTGTAAATTGGAAGTTTCCTTTGTCAAAGATGAGACATGTGAGGGTTGCATGAAGCGATAGGCTTTCTCGGTAACGGTAACTGCAAATTACACAGGATATTCGGAGATCATCCAAGATACTCACATTTCAGACACATTGCTTTTGAAACGTCCCTCCGTCAAGCAAACAGGAGAGAACATCATGGCTGCGGAATGTCCAACACCCTACCTTGAATATTAAGCTGACCATAGAAATTAGAATTGCATGCTTGTAAAAGGGAAACATCATTTCAACAAGAAAGAAAAGAACGATTTATTGACGCCGTACAAACAATCTCCGCGCACGCTGACACTCCAAATGATATCACATGAAATTACGCAATCTAGGAAACGCCGGCAGTGAGTATCTGATTTTGCGCCCGGAACCTCTCGATATGACACACCTATCTGGGTGAATGCCGCCAGGACCGGCGGGGGGTGCGGACGAACCAGGAGGACCTGCTGGGGGTCTCGGCGGGAATGGCTGACCAGGAGCAGGTGGTCCAGGGGGGAACTGTCCAGGGGGAGCAGGTCCATTAGGAGTAAATGGGGGGAAAGTCGAAGGAGGTGCATTGGGGCCACTTGGTCCACTGGGTGGGAAGGGGGGCGTACCAATTCCCCCGGGAGGCGGTGGACCGTTGGGTCCCGGAGGACCTGATGTAGAGTTATTGTTGCAGGTATATGAGACACATGCGCTCGTGAATCACTCACCCATGTAGCGAGGTCCATTCATCATCATAGGGTTGAACACAGGTGGGGGTCCTAAACACGTGGGAAAAATATTCGAATCAAGGGCAGAAGCTTCTGGCTTCAAAACGCACCAAACTGGGGTGGGCCGTATGCTGGCGCTGGAGCACCTTTTACGAATGCCTGATTGTCAGTGGAGCACAACGCCTTATTTAGCCCTTCCCCACCTAATGACGCTGCAGTAAATCCAAAGCCTCCTGGCGGCGGCCCATTTCCGGATTCGTATGCTTGGGTAATTTGGTCGATAATGTTCTGTGCTTTATCATGACCCAGCGCTACCAAAACAGATCACAAGGGCATATGGCCTCTGTATGGGCATAAAATCAGGGAACGCCGTACAAGCATAATAATCTCGAACGTTCGCCAAATGATTCCGCCCACTGTTATGAGCCTTGCGTACTGGTGAATAAAATGCATGAGCTGAGTTTGGAGACCCATTCTGTCACTCTCACCTGAAGCCGAATCATGGGTTAAAAAGACATCACAGTAGTCACCTGCAACATTCCATAAGCACCCCTCTCATAACCAGGCGTAAGGTGAGACCGACAGTAATGCTTCGGCATAGCTGAGTTGAAGCTGAATACTTTCAAACTCAATCTGGCCCATCACGTGTACTCACGTTTATCTTGTCATAACTGCTTCCGGCGCATGGCGGAGGGCCATCTCACATCAGGGGTCCGGGTGCCTCTCGATCTCGTTCGCCTGTCTCTTAGTGAGCGTATCTATGTGAAGCTACGCGGGGACCGCGAGTTAACCGGCGTCTTGCATGTGTGTTTGGACTGAGCGCGCTTTTCCCCTTAAGTCATACATTTTGTAGGCGTTCGACGGTCATATGAACTTGATAATGAGCGATGTTGAAGAGACTATAACGATTGTCGAAGGATTACATGAACAAATCCCTGGGCAGCAGCCCACAATTCGAGTGAGTTCGACCTCTTCCCTTACATGGATTCCGTCATTCTCACCCACATCAAGGTAGCGAAACGTAACCTAGACCTTCTATTCATAAGAGGGGACGGTGTTATTCTTGTAAGCCACGAATCATTTCGTGACCTCATTGTTCTCAGCACTCCCTGCACTCAAAGGTCTCACCGGGAGCCAGATGATCGCGAAGTCTGCTTCTACCCATACGCGTTGTTTTGTGCACCATGGACTAGGCTTGAGTCCTGGTCATTGAGGACCGTGTGTTGCTGCGTCCACGTTCTCCTCGACCTGAATGTCATGACACCTTCTGACTTGGTCCCCTCCCGTTCTTCAAATGCAAGACCGAAAAATTTATACTGTCATTAGTCAGACGGGTGTGTTCCCGGAGATATGATGCATTCAGGTTGAAACGATGTCAAAACGTGTGTAGGCGAAAAAAATCGAGATTCCACCAAACGAAATTCTGGAAGTACACGAATTGTGTGTTAGGTGTCAGTGACTCATGAATGGTTCAGCGGTCCCCAACAGTGCAGTAGCTCAGCTTTACTCCCTCACAATGCCGCGAGCCCAAGTCAACACTAAAAATAGACCATTGCAACATCTATTAATGGATGTGTGCCGATGCTGGTGATAGAGGGCCTTCCAGTCTCATTCTGCATTTTCAGGCGCTGAAACACGCGTTCGTTGTCGTAGCACCGAGCAGGACAAAAGATCTTGACGATGATTCTGGCTTGTTCTGTTTGAGTCCAAGGTTGAACACTCAGTCTCCCCCAGATCATTCATTCTGGACATCCAAGTGCCACGTTGGCAGCATAAGTGTGAGAAGGCTGTCCACCAGGAATAGTCCTGAAGGACCGCAACGTTTGATTAGCTCTAGATACAGACGTAGGATTTGATGTGGATGAAAATTGCGCCATCTCCGGTGCCCCAGTCCAAGTCCCATCCCTAAGCCACCCTGCATGGAGTATCTTGACCTGCACATGATGGACGGGAGATGCCCATGACCAGTAGAATCCGTGATTGATTGCATTAAAAGCCACAGTAATCGCCATAAGGATACGGTACTTACTGCGTGAGCCAACGACATGCCCTTCCTCAATCTTGATCCACCAACAAGCCTCGCATGAATACTCTTCAGATAGTCTTCCCATACTTCTTCATCCTCAATGGCCTGAGGCCTCGAAAGGACTTCTCCGAGCCTTGCAAGAGGTCCATTGTCGCTTCGTCGTGTGCGAGGTTCAAAGGAACCCGAACCCGGCGTCCCAGCGGACGACTGAACTGTTTGCCGATCTTTGTCCGCTATTACTCTTCCTCCCTGAGAGGGGCGGTAGTCCCCTTTTACCCACTCATCCCGGCGTTGGTAGAAGAAAGCAGGACCTTGTGATGGAATGGCGCCAACGGACTCGGGCGTTGGACCGCTTTCATTCAAGTTAGTACCATCAGGATTTGGAAGGTTGGGCGCTGGAGGTGGAGTTTCCGAGAAAGAATCGGACGGTGGTGTATTTGGTCCTTCCAGCGTTGCGATGATAAGGTCGTCGACGTCGGTGGGCATGAAGAGATGCGATCAAAATCCCCGATTTAGCTGACGTAAGCAAGCCCGTCTTTGTAAACAGGCAGGTCGCCAGGCTTGCGAACTGCTTTTTTTTTTTTTAGTTCTATACGCTCCAGATGTCCCCAGATCACGCCTGAACGATCCTATGTGGACCCATGACTCCTGGGATTTACTGGTATATACTATAAGCACCGATATATCATGGTGGCTGTACCTAATTCTACAATTGCACGGTGTTGCAAACTTACACCCAGGCGGTTCTGTTAATTCACTCCACGTAACCGGTAGCACGTTCCATCCAACAATTATCACACGGAGAGAGTCTGCGTGTCGGCTCCCCAGCTGTTCCATCTCAGGATCTTCCAGGTAACATAGAGCCAGGTTCGCGACCATTGACTTCACTATAGATCGACTCTGATAACTCTAAAAGTACAATCACCCAAAAGAATACCACAGATCTGTTAAATCGGAGGGGAAGCTGACATGTTGATGTGCACCGCCTTCACTGCAGTATAATGCTCCAGAGCATATTCGCCAAGTTCACGGCCGATTCCGCTCTCTAAAAAGGGGCGAATCTCAGGTGGGAAACACGACGAAGAGGGGAGGGGTTAGAAGCACGAACTACGCACGTTTATACCCTCCAAAGGGGGCATTTAGGGAACTGGCACCATAGCAGTTTATCCACACGGTACCTGCTTTCAGTTGATTCGCCACGCTGATCGCGCGCGACACATCGCAGGTGAAGAGTCCTGCAGCGAGGCCGTAGACGGTATCATTTGCCATCCTCACCGCTTCTTCGTCACTTGAAAACTTGGCAATAACCACCACTGAGGGAGAATAATCGTCATGGGCCGCAAGCAGGTTGGAATGGAACACATGCCTGGACCAAATATCTCTTCTTTCATTATCGTCATATCGGCTTTTACGTCGGTGAAGATAGTCGGCTGAATGTAAAGTCCCTCGGCTCCATAACGTTCTCCCCCCAAATGTACTGTGGCGCCTTCCCTCTTCCCAATCTCGATATAATTCATGATTCGCTTGGGTCATGGTTGGAAAATCAGCTCTCATCATGTCGGGGGACAGTTATTATCCCGAAAGGCACTTACATTGAAATGGGTCTCGGTCACTTGAGGCCCCTGGAATGTATCTGGAAGAAAAGGATCGCCAATTCTCACAGACTTCATCTTTTCAGTGAACGCTGCCAAGAACTTGTCGTAGATGTCCTCGTGTACAAAGACACGCGAACCGGCTATGCATAGTTGGCCCTGGTTGGCTCTGAGGAGCAACTTCTGTGAGGACTCGGTGATAGGAGCAGAACGTAAAAGACTAACAAGGCACCAAAGGCCGCCCATGAAACCGCCCTGTCCAGGTCGGCATCCTGAAAAATAATGTTGGGTGATTTTCCGCCCAGCTCGAGGGTGACTCTCTTCAAGTTGGAAGCAGCGGCAGCTTTCATGACGTGCCTCCCAACCAGACTGCCTGAAGTTGTCCAAGCACATCGAACAGCATTAAAGGGTTGCGAGGCCTGAACATCACCACTTACTTCCAGTGAACGCGACCTTGTCAATATCCATATGGCTAGCGATCGCTGCGCCAGCTGTGTCCCCATATCCAGTAACAACATTAATCACACCCTTGGGAAACCCTGCTTCCTTGATCAGTTCACACATGCGGATCGCAGTGAGGGGCGTCCATTCCGAAGGCTTGATCACAACGGTGTTTCCTGTGGCTAGGGCAGGCGCAATTTTCACGGTGAACATGCCAAGCTGGACGAAATAGGTAAAGAACGTCAATCAGCAGCAGGGGCGAGCAGCTTACGGGAAGATTCCTATTAATTACGAACTATCAGCGTGCACACAGAAACCCATGGATGTTGATAAGGGCTGACCAGGGGATAATTTGACCAACTACGCCGATGGGTTCGTGGCGTGTGTACGCAAGTTTGGAGTCGTTGACTGACCAAAACTCAGTCATGAAGGATGGAAGCGTATTAACAGCTGGGACGCCAAACCTTCGATTGTCTTTCCCTGAATCTTATCGGCCCATCCAGCAAAGTACCTCAGGATACCGATGGTCCCTTCCACATCCATCATCTTGGCCGCAATCAATGCCTTCCCTGATTGACAAGAGAGTCAGCCTGCTGGCCCCGCGAGATCGCCCAAAGCAGCTTGCCGTTCTCCAGCGCCTCAAGTGCTGAAAGCTCATCCGCATTTTCCGCAACTAAGTCCGCCAAACGGTTTAATAGTCGTCTACGTTCCGTGGGAGGTGCCTTCATTCCCCATCTTTGCTCAAAAGCCTCCCGCGCGGCTCGCACTGCAATGTCAACATCCTTTTCTGTCGCTGCAGCCACAATTCCTATCGTTTTCCCACTTGTAGGGTTAACAATACTAGTGCGCCAGATGGATGTTTCGAGTGAGCTCAATTCAGAAGGATTTAAACTCACCCAATTCTGTTACCATCGACCGCATCAACGAACTCATTGTTGATAAACAGCCCCGTGCTAAAGAATGACCTTCCTCGGAATCCTCCTCCAGGAGCACTGTTGAAATCGAACTCAAACGATGGGGGCGACATGCATGAAGGGGACTGGATAAGACGGTGTGCACGCTAACAGAAATTCTATAGCTAGGTCTCTCAAAAAAATCTTTCAGCGTTTGTTCTGTTGTGAAAGGGACACTCTTAATAGAAAGCGTCGCGGTACAAATAATGGTAAATACATGGGGTCGAGGTCGTTTCCGAGTCATTATGTACGTAAGCCGCCTTATTTGACGTGATGACTCAGCCAAGAAAGTACCAAAGCATTTCCCTAGCAAATGGTTAAAGGCACCGCCGGCCCCTTACTACAGGCACACCCTACCCAGCGAAAGCTACACCAAAAAAAGGGTGCGAGAATCTACACTTCGGCGTAAGTTGGTCAGTTCTACACTCTCAACAGTACTGGGGCTGAAAATATCAAAGTGAGGACTCCTCCATTCTTCAGCAATCATGTTTTCGTTCGTGTGCAACGAGCGAATTCCAATAGTGTTTCGTTGATAGGGAATATGCATCTGAAGTATCGGACAAAGACGAAACGCACCTTGAATAGGGGCGCCAAATCCGGGAGAGGGCATGCCAATGAATTAGCTATGGAGGATGAATTCCGAATGTGACCTGGAATAAAGGAAGTCAGTCAGGACTGAACATATACTCAAGTACAAAGGATGGAAGGAAGATGGGGTTCAGAACAATTCTAGATTTTATTTTTCCTGTCACTTCATGAGACTGGTCATGATCGGTGGACATGTAAGGTTCACATCATACGGAGGAAGGATACAGAGGCAAATGCATCACAAATTATGAAGGTACGCACCAGATCTGCTCTTTAAAGGTACCGTAATAGTGGATGACATAACCCCCCTCCCTTCCCTCAGGGGAAGGGAGCGGATTCGGAATGGAGAAATGATATATTGTTGGATGTTGATAAGTGAAAGGGAACTAGGTGCAAACGTGTAGCACCAAAGCAGGGCTCTCTGATCGGCTATAAATTTGAGGAATGGCCGCGTTGCAATAGCCAGGATTGTACTGGCACTGTGCAATCAACCACGAGGAGCGAAAGGACTGCAACCTTTTCGGTTCTTGCCGCTTTTACCCATCTGAGAACCGGAAGCAACTTGGTCATCCCCTGAGTCTTACTCCCTTTTTCCCATGCTCTTCGAAAGGTCTCGAGACAGGATGAGACGGAAAGACTAAAAATCTGTAGCTTTCGAAGTTGCATGAAAAATAATATTTCTGGATTCTCTTCCAAGAGCATTCTTCAGTCAGTGCAAAGCCTGCATCTGCTCGTTGGCGCATCCTGCAGATATTTGAGGCGTGGTCCTCGCGTTCATGCACCCCAAATAGCACGGAACGCTCAATCAGTCGACTCGTATTGCCCTCTGTGTATTGCTCAGGACTTTGATCTGCCCGAGCGAAGGCGCTAGCTGCTAGACCACATATCATGTCGTTCACCAAGTGAACGATGTCCTTTTTCGTTGATGAAAATACATAGCACCCTATTTCAATTCCCTTGAATGCCTGAATTTCGAATCTTGTGGGCGAAAGACGCTCGCGGTCTCGCGTACTGCTCAGCTGATGGGTGTGTCTAAACCGGCGGTCTCAATTACTCGGAGGTGAGCCTGAGCCCGGGATTACCTTTGATTCAGTGGCAGCTTTCAAAATATGCCGTCCCAGTCCGTCGTGAGGTTCAATGGTAAGGCACCATATTACCTCGGTTACCCCATAAGTTAACCCACTCGACGAAATGAAGGTTGGTTTGCCAATGGCTGGGTATCGCCGCATGCTCAGGGAAACCCACCTCCTCGTGATAGCAGGCACACCAATGGTTGACAGTGAGAAGGGCTAATGTTCCTGTGACGAGCGTTGCTGCAATATCTCAGGGGAACATGGCAAGCTTGGGGATGAAGGAGGCGGCGCTGGTGCACGAAAGTTAAATGAAGAGATTAAAAAAGTACCGGGGAGTTTCTGAAACGATCCCAAAGAAGTGGGCATCGCAAGGCATAAAATCAGTGATCTGTCTTACTACAATGCTATGCGTTGTGGGATATCCTTAGTGACCCTCAATAATCTTCTAAATATTTGTCTGTCCATCCAGTGAAATACTTTGTTATGTTGATGAGAATTGGAGCTTCAGATGTCCAGGCCCATGCAGGACATAGAAGATATAGAAGATGCCTTTCCTGAACGCAACACTGGAAAGCCAGCCACCAATAAGGATTTAGTGGCTGAGACCCTCTGGCGTGTATCGCTCCACCAAGTCCGCGAGGGGATGATATGACTACATGAAATGGCAGTATTTACACGATCTTGACGCGGCGCTCCCTGCTGATGAAATGAAGAGACTTGGCGTTGTGCAAATTTGGATCCGTCATTTCGATGACACCCCAATATGTGATCCGAACATACCCTGAAAATTGGATGATTTATCAGAGCAACAGCATACTCCACAATGCCGTCGACGCTGTCAACAAACTCATTGTTGATAAAGAGGCTGACGCTGAATGAGATCATCCCACTGGATTGCGTGCGCCCATGCGCTTTGAAGTCGTGCTCCATAAAGACAGGTAGGCTCATTTTCTGGCAGAAGCATAGAAAGGAAGCGAAAGAGGGGAGGATATGGGCTGGAGCTTGTATCCACAGCTTCGAGCCGGGTAACAGACATCGTTCTAAAGAGGTCGCAAATCATCTGATACCGAATGTAATGAATCCGCAAAAGGATTAAGACTTTTGGTCCCATTGGTATATAAGCCCGTGGGTGGATGGGGAAAGTCCGAACGGGGCAATGTTTAGCTCAGAACGCCCATCAATGCTAGCGCTTTTACAGCACCGTGTGAAGACTTACAATTGAAGCTGGGCCAAAAAAAAAATGCTGCACTCAGCTGCGCATGAGCATATGCGGTCTGGATGTTCTAGGCTTTGACCACCATCAGTTCCACACCCGGAATTCCCCCGGATCTGTTTGCATGTTAGTGGGATCCATTCCCCGGCCATAGATTTGCGGGACATCTGCTCTGGGATTGAACACCCGAAATGATTGATCCAAGAGACGAGGCAAATTTCAACATGGTTAGATGAATACAAGGATACAGTCAAATCACGAATGCTTTCGCGCGTTCTGATAGCGGGGAGACGATCGCAGACAAGGGTCACTAGCACGCTGTCCAAACTCTGAAGGCTGGATTGGAAAATGCACTTAGATCGGCGGCGTAGCTGAAAGATTGATGTGCACGGCCTTCACTTCAGTGTAATTCTGGAGTGCATATTCACCGAGTTCTCGGCCAATTCCGCTCTCTAGTTGGTCGCCAATCAGCCGACAAAGGCCAAGGGGAGGCGGAGATCAAAGAACAGCTCACGTTTGTACCCGCCAAATGGTAAGGTCACTTCGACTTTGTTGAACTCGTTTATCCATACGGTTCCAGACTTAAGCTTGTTCGAAACGTCGATGGCACGGGATATATCTTTCGTGAAGATGCCTGCTGCTAACCCGTACAACGTGTCGTTCGCCAGACGCACAGCTTCCTCATCATTTGAGAACTTGGCAACGACAACAACTGGAGTTGGTGGCCACTATGAGTAAAGTGGTTGAGTCGGAGCGATTGGAAAGTTCGCATACCTGGGCCAAATATCTCTTCCCTCATAATTTTCATATCCGGCTTCACGTCCGTGAAAATGGTAGGCTCGATGAAAAAGCCTTCCGTACCATGCTGACTTCCACCAAGGTGGAGTGTGGCACCATCTTTCTTGCCACTCTCGATATAACCCATTATACGCTGAAATGTGAAAGGGAAAACGTTAACTTCAGCTTGGAGCGGAACATCAATAACCTGCCTTGAATTGCGTTTCGGATGCTTGGGGGCCTTGGAAAGTGTCTGGAGCGAATGGGTTCCCAACTTTCAGGCTCTTCAGCTTCTCCGTAAACTTCAGCAAGAACTCATCATATATCTTCTCATGCACATAGACACGCGAGCCAGCGCTGCAAGTTTGGCCGTGGTTGAATCTTTAAAAGACGCCTCAGAGAACCCACCAGAGAAGGGGATAATGCTATCACTTACACAATACCAAAGGCGGCCCAGCTGACGGCCTTGTCCAAGTCGGCGTCATCAAAAATGATAGACGGAGATTTCCCGCCCAGTTCTAGGGTGACCTTCTTCAAGTTCGAAGCAGCCGCCGATTTGAGGATATGCCTTCCCACGAGCGTGCCTTAAAGCGATGCTGATCATCAGTTTTCTCCTCTTCTTCCTCGCCGAATGATCGCCGAAGAGGAGCGGCTTACTTCCAGTGAAAGCAACCTTATCAATGTCCATATGGCTCGATATGGCAGCGCCCGCAACACTTCCAAGTCCTGTAACAACGTTTAGAACGCCCTTGGGGAATCCGGCCTCCTTCGCAAGAGCCGCAACACGGATGGCCGTGAGTGGCGTCCACTCGGACGGCTTGATGACGATAGTGTTCCCGGTGGCAAGTGCAGGGGGAATCTTCCAAGCGAACATGCCGAGCTAGAGAGGATTCGAATTCAGCGTCAATCCACAGGAAAAGCTGCGGTTCGCACGGGGAAGTTCCTGACACTGGGTATTAGATCATGTCATTCGCGTCATTGGATACCACTGACCAGGGAATAATCTGACCGACGACTCCAATGGGCTCATGGCGTGTATATGCAAACTTGGCGTCATTCACTAAAAAAGGAGATTGGAAATTTCAGCTGGGAATTCTTGAATACGTTAGCGACTGGCCTTCAATGGTCTTCCCATGGATTTTGTCCGCCCACCCGGCATAGTATCTCAACGTGTTCACGAAGCCTTGAACATCTACAAATCGTGACACGAAAACAGTCTTTCCTAGAACATTATCGAGGTTATTGACAGTATTATGGGCTACCAAACCAAAGAAAACCTACCATTATTCAGACTTTCCAGGGCAGCAAGCTCATCAGCATGTTGTTCCACCAAATCGGCAAGACGGTGTATCAATCGAGCACGCTCGGGGGGTGGGACCTTGGTTCCCCATCTCTGTTCAAACGCTTCTCGAGCCGCCTTCACGGCAATGTCGATGTCCTTGTCAGTGGCTGCACTGACATGACCAAGAGGCTTCCCGTCCGTCGGGTTTACGAGCCTTATCGAAGGTTTGAGGGGGAGAACGCATGTGTGTGAATGTGACTTGGTAACTGAGAGTTGGAAACTTGACTCACTCGACAGTCGAACCTTCAACAGATTCCACAAACTCATTGTTGATGAACAGCCCTGCGCTGAAAGCAACCTTTCCGGTGAAGTTTCCACCCGTCGTTTGAAAGTCAAACTCGAAGGTTGGGGGTGCCATCCTAGGTCTTTTTAAATCGGAGGTAGCCCTAATGGGCTCCTCCATATTTATACCTCAGGGGAAATCTCACAGACCGGACCAATGATCAGGTTACATTCAAATGCGGTGAGGGTGTTGAATTACGACATGTGAAGCTAGATGCCGAATGTTAAAGCACAAAGGCAAATTTACGGACGTGGCTAGAACTTTGTCTAACCCCGCGCGCGCCCGACGAACAACGTTGCGTTCAACATTCTTGAATTGGACTAAAAAGCTCGAGCAAAGAAATTGAGTCGTGGGCTTCATCGAGCCGACGAGTTGCGGTGCGCAATAGGTGATCCGTCGGGTGCAGTGAAGCCGATTCGATTCACGAGGATATAATATTATGAAGAATGAGGGTTTGGGTTTGGTTGGTGGGGTTGGGTTGATATGAGCTGAAATTTTTATGAGTCAAATTGACTCCACACGTGCAATTCAAAACCTGTGAAACCGCCTGTCAAACACATCCACAAGCAACGGCAATGCGCACTTTCGAAGATATTCCCAATGAAATTATCATGCACATTGCTCGGGATGTGTCATCCTCCTCTGAGCTCATCTCTCTCACACTCACATCCCGTCGTTTACGTGGCATTGCCGAAACTCAGCTATATCGGTCCGTGTCTCTCGAGGACGGTGGCCACGAGACAGAAGACGAACGCCAACTTCGAGGATTCGTACATACGCTTATTTCGCGGCCTGAACTACGACCACTCACCCGGCATCTTGCCATTTCATGGTATGGCCTTTATGATGAAGAGGAAACAAAGCCAGAAATGCCATACGTTGCAGACGAAAGCAAACTGAGTACTCTCCAAACTTTAGCGCGCGAAAAGGGAATGTCAGCTCGTGCTGTTTCCGACCTCAAGAAGGGTTGGTGTCGACCTTACTTTTCATTGTTGATGCATATCCTGCCGTCGTTGGAAAGTCTAGTGATACGGGAAATGAATTCTGATGCAGTGATAACCACAAAGTGGGCCTGGGGTCCCGGTGAATATCATGGGCCCCTCCCCGTAGCCTTCCAGTCTTTGAGGAGTTTCGAGCTGAACTTCCACATGGACGAGGATGGTCTGCGCGCTGCGGATGTCGTCCCCTTTATGTCCCTTCCCGCTCTCAACTCATTCCGAGTGAGCCAATTTGCAGGATGGGGTACGGTTCGTTGGCACAAGGCGGAATCCAGCAATGATGCAGAATCCAACAATGATGCAGAATCCAACAATGCAGAATTCAGCAATGATGCAGAATTCAGCGACGATGACGGTCCGGCACCTCGAATTTTTCAAAGCATGCGCTTCACCAACCGATCGTCAAAACTCAAGAAGCTTGATTTCAACTTGAGCGTTGTTGCCCCAGAGCTATTGGATGGCATTTTGCAAATCCCTGAAGCGTTGGATATACTGATTTATGATAATGGCGGTGATGCTGTCTTATATCATGAGATCGATCCTCCTGCTTTCTGCAGGGCTCTCCGACACCAAATCCGGAGTCTGACCACTCTCCGCATTACGGTTTCAGGCTATTTGGCGGATATCGATGAAAGTCTTGAACCCATGGGTACCCTCAGTGATTTCATTTCGCTAAAGAAGCTCTCTGTCCCATGCTTGTACCTATTCGGGCATCCGTGTGTCGTTGACGATGGGCCGCAAGAGAGCCGCAAATTCTTTGATTTGCTCCCACCGAATCTCTCCAGTGTGACTATCGGCACGGAAGACTGGGACGTGGAAAAGTTTATTGATGCTGTTGGCGGGGGAGAAGATGAGGGATGGAGGAGTTTACTAAGTCAACGCCTACCGCACTTGGAAGAATTCATCGTTACTTCGGAGGAGCCCAATAATGCTGCAGCGACACTGGAGGTGATGGGAATAAACTTTAAGCTCCTCACGTACTAGCGTACGCTTTTATTATCCTATAATTACGATGCGTTCAACTGATTTGTGTAAATCCTATCGCCAGGCACCCATCACAAGTACATAGTCCAGGCAGTTATGACAGTTAGATCCATCGGACACCTGGGACAATCATTTCTACATCTTGGATTATCATTTCGACAATTTTCGACGTTCAGTCACTTAGCTTGATTACAGTAGTAACTAGCTCGTTCATGCCATCCATGGGGCTTCTTTTGGGCTGGCGGCGGGTAGTATGGCATACGATTGGCAATAGTACACATGCTCACACATAGCAGGACTCGGTGGTACCAGGTCCTACTCTTGATAGTAGCTTTAATGATGGCGGCATATGTAGTACATATATGCACTTGGCCACCTTCACCTCAAGCATGCCGCTATCGTTCATAGGAAGTGAGATGGTGGTCGTGCGAAGCAATATCAGTTTGCAAAATCAGCAAATTTGTCGCTGCACGATGCAAAGGTTTGGTGCGCATACATGCATGGTCACGGTCAAGTGGGTAGTCTGCAAACTATGTCTGGACTGATTTTTATTTTTGGGGTATACAACTAACTATACTAGAGCCGTGTTCGCCCATAGTAACTAGAATGACCCAACACTAGTGAACATGCGACGCGACGGCCCACGGAGATTCCAGGGCCGAAATTTGATATCATACAATAAATTCGGCCAACTCCGCTGCAAAACATGGGTACGAGTCTGGGTTCGACGACTTGTGCATCCGTCATACTACTGGGAAACCATGACGATGGAAAGCGTTATCGTGGCGCAGTGGCGCAGTTGATTATTATTATTTTCACCAAGTTGTAAGTTGTGGAATCGCTCGGCCAGTGTGGGATGGCTCGCGATCGGAGGAGAAAAGGTCATCGGGCCTCATACCCATTGTTAGGAACGTTGATCTCCAATGCGCTAGGCTTCTTCTGTTCCAATAGAGCTTGATCACCTGCCTAGAAATGAATCTATCATGACTCTCACCCTACGGATCCGGAGAACCCTAGTTTGTCCAATCCCAATCCAGTTCTTGCTCATGAAACCCTGAATGTGGAGGTGCAGTTCTTCCAGACGTAGATAAGGCTCCCTCCATCTCCAAATCGTAACCTCCCCAAATCCCCCCCTCTCTTTCAACACCCAACGATCCAGTATGGCTCCTCCTAATTTCGAGTACGACTTTAAGGACTTGGCGGGTAACTTTCACGGAAAGTCTTCCTTTAACTCTGGACTCTATATCAATGGAGAATTCGTCGAGGGTGTTGACAAAACCACCGTCGAGTGCGTAGGGAGCGGACCCTTTACCCCAGACTCCATCTAACTTTGTTTCCACTTTGTTGTCTTTATTCCCACCCTGCCCAATCCCCACGATGTAACTCCCTTAATCCTCTCCCACAGAATCGTCAACCCCGCGACCGGGAAACCCCTCAGCAATATCCCAGCTGCGACCGACAAAGACGTCGATATAGCCGTCAAAGCCGCTCGAGAAGCTTTCGAGACACGTTGGGGAACCAAAGTCCCTCCTACCGAACGTGCAAGACTTTTATTCAAGTTGGCAGATTTGATCGAAGCGAACGCTGATGAACTTGCCGCGTTGGAATCTTTGAATAATGGAAAGGCGTTTGCAATCGCTAGAGCGGTGGATCTGCAGGGGGCCATCGATACGTTTAGGTATTATGCTGGGTGGGCGGACAAGGTTCATGGGAAGACGATCGAAGGTGGGTCGTGAGACCCCATGTTTTTACCTCGCATTCAACGCCCCGTCTGATTCGTTATTCAACATTCGCTGCCCTCTCACCCTTGGGTGACTGATTGTACCTACTCGCTCGTCTGGTGGTCCCGATCCCTCCCTGCTTACATTATTCGACGACGCCACCTACCGCTTCATGTCTTGCCGGAATTACCGCCATCCTCCTTGATGATGGTTCGTTTGGTTGGTGAACAGTGAACGATACCAAATTTGCTTATACCCGCCACGAGCCTATTGGAGTCGTTGGTCAGATCACGCCGTGGAACTTCCCCGTGCGTCATCCTCGCTTGTCCCTGACGACGTTGGAGGAATGAATGTTCCTTCATCTTACTTAGCTCTGGATGCTCTCATGGAAACTGGCCCCAGCCCTCGCAACAGGAAACACGATCGTCTTCAAGCCCTCGGAATGGACTCCTCTCACAGCCATCCGCGTGGCCTCCCTCATCGAAGAAGTTGGGTTCCCTCGGGGTGTTGTGAACATCCTGACTGGTATAGGGAACACAGCTGGGGCGGCCATCAGCGCACACATGGGGATTGATAAGGTTGCGTTCACGGGGAGTACGCTCGTGGGGAGACATATTTTGAAGAGTGCAGCAAACTCGAATCTAAAGAAGGTTACGCTTGAGTTGGGCGGAAAGAGTCCTGCTATTATTTGGGATGACGCTGAGTTGGACACAGCTGTCTCATGGGCTGCCTTCGGTATTGGGTGAGTAGTTCCTTCCACTCTCTCTCTTTCTCTCTTCCTTTTCGTGATTCAGGGACTGATCAGCATGATTCCGTACCCCCTTTCTTTGGTCTTTTTTTTAGATTCAACCATGGACAGACATGTTGTGCTGGTTCGCGAGTGTTTGTGCACGAGAAGATTTACGATACTTTCCTTGAAAAGTTCACGAAGAAGTTGAAGGAGATTAAAGTCGGTGATCCGTTCCAACCCGATACTTTCCAGGGGCCACAAGTCTCTGAGACACAATACAACGTGCGCGTCCCTTCTATTCAAATTATTAGTCTAGCCCTAATGCTCGATCGCCTGCTTTCAGCGCATCATGAACCACATCAGCATTGGTAAGAAAGAAGGTGCTACAGTTCACCTTGGAGGCGAACGCCACGGAACGGAAGGGTTCTTCATCCAACCAACTATCTTCACCGACGTCAAGCCCGAAATGACCATCGTCAAAGAAGAAATTTTTGGACCTGTCGTCGTCTTGGCTAGGTTCAACAATGAGGAAGAGTTGATTAGATTGGCGAACGATAGTGTTTATGGGTTGGCAGCTGCTGTGTTTACGAGGGACGTCAGCAGAGCCATTGGGATTACGAATCGCTTGAAGGCCGGGACTGTTTGGGTTAATTGTTATAACCTTTTGGATGTCAACGTTCCGTTTGGAGGGTATAAACGTGAGTGTAGTCCCCCCCCCCCACTTTTTTTGTGTTTGCGGGTTCTTATAGTGGTGTGTTGTTGTTTGCTGATGATGGTGTTTCTGATCGCAGAGAGCGGCATCGGACGTGAGTGTGGAGAGTACGCTCTGGCGAACTATACCGAAGTCAAGGCTGTTCATATCAATCTTACCGGTCAGCCTCCGATCTAAAATGGCGCATGTTCCGCGCTTTTGGTGCCAACACTTTGTACTCCCTTTACCAATTCTGCTCTTACTCTTTCTCGCTTGCTTTTAACGCTCCTCGGCTAGCCTGTCGTCGCTGCACTCGAAAGAAATGTGTTGTACCAACGCCCAACTATCTCGGTCTCTTGGTTGTCATGTATGCACAGGAAGGATATATGCTTGATTTTCAAGAATTAGAAAGTGAAACGTTGATGGATCCCCATATGGGGTGCTCCGTTCTTTTGCCAACCATCTGGTGTCCGCAACTTTGAGGATGCCGTCAACCTGTCATGGATCATATCTCTTATCTTCTCGCAGCCGTGTAGCGGTTGATTCATCGGCTTCACTTTTTTCCTCCATGAAATTGCTCTGTAATCTTCTCGATCACCTGGTACCCTCCATCAGGATCAATTAATTACGCACACACCCCTGAGTTAATTTCCTCATCACATCCATCATCGCGTTCTCGGCTGGGCTCGTATGCTTTACTTTCTGAGAATTCCACACATCTACGTTCATTCTCATTGTGATCACTATCCCACGTCAGTCTCGTCTTTTGCTCCTCTCACTGTCGGTTTCTGGTTTGTGGGAGAGCGCTACTATACTTGCGCATATAGTAAAACTAATAGTGTGATGGTTCGATCTCATTCTCTCGGTGTTGAAAAACTTTATTCCCCCCAGTGCCGTGTGTGTACGTGAATTCTGGATGTTTAGCTTGCGAACTTTTCTTTTCCCTCAGTTCTCTACACTATTGAGCTTGGGACTAATCCACTGCTTGGTTATTGTTTCTTCTCATGATTGGAATTACTCCACGTATACTTACAACTACGTACTTAGCATTCATTTCTGGACATCACGGAATCATAGCAAGCGAGTCATCCCACCCTTTCTATTCTTCCATTCTAATCCTCCCAACAGTCATCTCATGTTCCTTGTCACTTCCAGCCTGGGCATTCCCTGAAGTACATGTGGAGCCCCCCCCCCTCAGAATCCTGAAGGTGAAGATGACTTCCGAGCAGGGTCTAATAGTCCCTAGGAGTGTACATCTGAGTCAAATGGGTAGCAATTGATTAATTGTACCACCAGTAATACGGAATAGCATGCATCATATAATCCTTCCGCCACACTTATTCCTTGCAAGATGCTCGGCTCCATCTATTAATCCAAGTGGTTGTATGTTCAACGTAGAGACCTGTACCCGTCACGGAATCAGTAGTCATTACCTAAAATGCCGGTCCCCGGGGGTCATGCTGACGTTCGCATCGGTGATGCGGGCCACAGACCCAGTAGATGACTCGATCCCATTTCTCTGACCAACCCCTAGATCTATCAGTAGCAATCGCCAGCACTGACAATATGTAAGGTGTGGGCTTGGACGACGGACATGCACAGGGATAGGAACCCGACCATGACAACGGAACACGGATGATAACGGATGTGTTCGTTTCATCCCTCGCACAAAACTGTTCATCCCGGACAGGCGATTTGCAGTTGTTGCAGTCGATGGCAGGTTTCGAACATTTTGGCTTATCTCATATATATGGCGTTCGCGGGTAATGTAACTGACCTCACCGGATGGGTTATCCTCAGACGGGATTATATACAGTATGAACATCTATAGGGATTAAGAGTTTAAAGGTAGAATCGCTTCCTAAGGACGTTCGCAAAGCGGGTTATCCCGAGACGTAACTCCTCAACCTGTCGACTCAAATTTATAAACGTCGCCTTCGATCAATATTTAGAGACCGGAAACTCACCGTTGCCATGGAGTAGCTCATTCGCAAATGGCCATACTTCCCATGCTCACTCATCGTGGTCCAATACTTCTCACCCATGCCAACTTGGATTAGGGCCCCAGTGTCCGGTGACACTGCTTCCGCAGATATAAGTCTAGCGTCGTCATCAGTACCAAATATCCAGCCGGGGGCAAAGAGAACGTGATCCTCCGCAAGCTCCGTCCAGAACTGGGCCTCGAGCGCATCATCCGGTGTCTTCGGTGGAGGAGCAGTGGGCGAATACGATTTATGGTTGTACATATGAAGTTTCAGCTATAGAAGGCATCTCATTAGCCGAGCATTGTGATCCAAAGGAAGAAATACTTACCCATAAAAACATCCCCGCAGTTGGTACTACGAAACTGAATAATATATTTCCCTTCTTCTCGTTCACACTCTGAGACCTGTTCCGAGCTACGAAAACCTTGACATCCCCACTGAGCGGTAAAATCCTTCCTTTGGTGTCATCGGTTTCTTCCTCCTTGAGGTCGAAGATTTCACCAAGTACATCAATTATAGTGTCTCGTCGCTGAGTGTACGCCACTCGGATACCCTGTAACCAGCGAATATACCCAGGGTATTTCCATTGGTGAACAAGGAGTTGGGCTACCAGCGCCTGGAAAGGGAAGCATTAAGACAGCGGTACCGGGATACCATGGGATGTTAACACGCCTGAACGAAGCCACTTGGCGCTTGGGTCGTAGTTTCGGATTGGCGTTCCAGTCTCTCAGCGAAAAGAGAGTTCGTGGTAAACCAGCCGAGGCGACATCCTGGTGCAATGGTCTGACAAAATGAAAACGGGAACAATTCGTGCCCTCAGCTCGCTTGTAGAAAATCAGGCCTAAGAGTTGTTTGCCTTTGAGAACGTGTCCATGCGTATGACTCTTCCTTGGTAATCGAACCTAAGCAAGAAAATTGAGCCATTTGAGCTCTCTCACATAACGTGGCACTGTGAACTTGCCTCAAAAAACTGGGCTCCAGGCTGTCGATAAACCTCAACTCGTCATCTCCGCTTATGGCAGAGGATGATGAATCTGGGCGAAAGCTGGGCGCAACGTACTCCCCGACTTGTAGGAAGAAGTAGGGATCATCCTCCACAATGATGACATCTGCCGCAAGGGAGTTGATATTGAATTGGGGTGTGACTTGTGTGGCTTACCATATTTAACGCAAACCTCGTAGATCGCCTTCTTGCGCTTGGCACCCATAGTCTGTCATTGAATAAATCAATGGTACGATAGGACTGCAGATGGAATCCCAACCGTGCCACATGGATTCTGACCAACTGGGACCGTGTAGAGAACTGGGAGTCTGTTGTCAGCTTCATGACTAAACGATCGACAACTGGTGGAATATCCCGCACCATGAGGCCTAAGGCGACAAAATTGAAAAAAAAAATGACCGTCAGGCACGTAATCCCCAGATCCCAGTTTGAGGCGTCCTACCTCGGCCCTCCTCTGCGAGCAGGGTTCCAGTGCTCAAGAACTTCTTCGAGTGCATCGGCGCGGAGTCCCTGTCCATCCATGGCCACACCAACGGGTTTTACGCCATATGGTGCTGCCGCCGATAGGGCGGAAGTGTATGCCCAGTCTTCGGTCAAGAGATAATCGCCGAATTCACAGAAGGTCTGCACGACTTTTACCCAACCGTCGGTGTTGCCTGCATATCATTATTGCAATCAAGTCCAGGGAAAAGGGAAGTGAAACTAGTTAAGAACTGACCAACGTGGAGAAGGACCGCAGAATCTGTGTTCAGGGGCTGGTATACTTTACGCGTGAAATGAGTGATAAATTCAACCAGGGCAGGGTGACCTTGAGCGGTGCCATACTGAAGAGAAGTGCTTAATTGTATGGCGGTTGGCGACTTGGGATCCGGTGAGAATTTAGGTATTGTGAAGGGCCGCGTACGAGGCATGTGTTTGGTGCTCGCGAACAGCCAACCCCAGAGCCACGACATCGGCCCAAAGGTGTCTTGTGTATGTGATGCGGGGGACGGCCCGCCCAAAGATTCTGGGACCAACGCGTCTGCTGAAATCGAGTCAAACGGAAAGTACTCAGGCGGAGGCATTCCTCCTGGACAACAATGTCAGTCGAGAGCTCAGCAACGCTAAAATATACTATTGTTAGACCTGCGAAAGATATCATTTCAGGGTCGTCCAGCCATTTGAAAAGGCTCTTGAGCGTCGATGCAGGACGTCGCTTAGACAGTTGCGAAAGGTGATGAGATAAATCAATGTCGGGCTTGACAGTTGTAGCATAGTCGGAATAATGTTCCTTCTCAATATCTTCACAGTACACCCTCGCAAACGCAGTAGCCATGTACGTCGACAAGGAGAATTACTAATAGTAAGGACACCGGTCAATCAGGCAGGGGATATACCGGTCAATGACCTGACGGGCCTCGGGCATATGTGGCAGTGCCGCATCTGCCGACACTTGTTGGGTCCGCATTACGCAAAAGGACGTAGATACAAAGCGCTAATCAGGCACTCAGAGCAAGAGGGATCAGGATACGAATACAAGAAGGGGGTCACAACTTGCGCGAGGCGAACTTTCATCTCCAATGGATTACGTGCTAATCATGCACCGAATCGCATCTTTTTCTATAGACGTTAGTTGCAAACTGCCAACTTAGGATGCCTCCGGACATTCGCGAGCAATCTAGCAAAGGGGTGTCATACGAGCGTGCGCGTCAAAATCATCGCTGCTCAAATGCTGAGGAATACCAATAACGTACGTGTCCTTCTTGGTGACAATGGTAACAGGTTTTACTTCGTGGGCCAAAGCCGCTCTCACCAGCGTCCGGACAATCCCTGGCGATCTAAGGGGGGCCACATTATCAGGAGGAAAATTCTGGGCCACGTAAGATCATCTCCACATACATGTCCGTCGTTTTGACACACGTAGCATCTTTTAGATCTGTCCGCATCGGTAGAATTCCCTGCTTCGGGGCAGTCACGGGCAATCTGCGCGCATAGTTATTAAGACGGCCGATGCTGTCAGGGCCTGATGAATACAAACATGTCCTTCCATTTGGCAGTGGTAGCAAGTCTTCGTTCGATTTGATGGGAATGCCTCCCCATTCCCAATACCATTGGCAGACATATTTGGACAGAAAGCGGCAATCTAATTCATGGATTAGTTTTGACGTTAGGTGTCAAAGAGCAAGTACGAACATGACCCCCTTCCCGGCAGTGGTAGCAGATTTTGGCGGACGAGACATCGGCCTGCGGACAGTCTCGGGCAAGCTGTGAATCAACGTATTGAGGAATAACGGTCAAGTCAGGCATGTAAATCGCGCAACCCACATGGCCCTCTTTTTGACATTTATAGCATGTCCTGGCGCCAACAGCACCACTTAAGTGTGCAGGCATCGGCGCAGTACAATCTTTTGCATAATGATTAATGCCATTACACCTCAGGCATCTTACAGGTGGCTGGGACGCCGCCGGTCCAACCGGGGCCGTGGTGGTGCCGCACCAGAGGGGCAAAATTTGGATAGATGTCCGAAACGGCCACAATTCTAAGAAGCATAGGGGTAAGGGGAAATATATCTTATCTCAACACATAACGCACTAACTTGAAGCATAATGGGGGGAACTCACGAAGCACTTCGTGTTGGCAGATGTGCTAGACGCAGCCCTAGCAGCAATTTTTAATGACGCACAGTCTGACTGCACATGTCCTATTCCACCACATCCATAGCATTGCTTAGCGCTAACGCTTCGTGGACTGGGACACTCCGCGCTCTCGTGCCCTCCCTTCATGGGGTCGGCAGATGGGAAAGATAGTTGGTGGTGCAGCATTGTCGAGGGTCAGGAACCAGAGGGCGAGCGAGTTCTCAAAAAACTCACTTGACGGCAGTTATAGCACAACCTCTGATCAGATGGGCAGTTCTCTGCTATATGCCCCAGATTTCCACACTTGAAGCAACCTTTTCGACTCGCCATCTCAATTCCCATTTCCCCCTACAAGACTATCGCTCTGGGAGTAATGACAGACATAATTTGGTCAGCTGAAGCATCACAAAACACGACCATAAGAGTCGCCAACCTTCACACCAGGTACCTGCCAGAATTTGAAGCACCACAGGTGAATTTGATGAAGAGAATACAATGTGTCCCTCGAGCACAATAAAAGTAAACAATCTGCAGTCGAATCTGTTCTGCGGGCAAGATATCCAGAAGTCACACACATGCGCACACGCAGTCGGACAGACCAGTCTAGGATACCGTCATCGGAAGCTTTAGCCCCACGCGTTCTGGTCATAGCTGGGTTTCTGAAGAGCATATACTGGACAACCGTTACCGCTCAGCGCATGAGCCTCTGATGAAACCGACAAGGAAGCACGAAATGACTAAATCAGCCTCACCCACAGTAGTGCTGTCTTACATCCCTCATGCATGCCTATACGGCCATGAATGATGACATTTAAGACATTGAATGGCTCAACGTTCTTACGGGCTGAGAGGAGTAGCCGCTCCACACATAATCATCCGAACCTCTATTGAGGACCTAAATTATATTACATCATGACCTCTACGTAATAATCAAGCAAGATTAGCGATCTTTCTCTCGTCATGGAATGTGTACTGGCACCAGCCTGAACTGCATGTTCGCATCTCTTTATCGGTTCAGCCTTCCATTCACTCCATTCGTTATCACTGTATGATCATCCCTCGGATCACCTTCTAGTCTTCGGCGGATTTTCCCATCGCTCTTTTCCTTTGAGCTTACAGTCCGAGAGGTGATGAAGCTAGGCACTTTAATGAGTTTTGGCCACCCATCTATTCAGTTTCTCGGATCTCACTGCTCAGTCCGATTCTTATTCATCGTCCCTTGGGGCTCTCTCTTAAGATGTCTATATGTCAGCACTCACGATGAGGGCTGGCCGACGGATCCGGGGGAGCCAGTCGCTCGGTTTCGTCTACCATGTTTCAATGTTTGAGTTATCAGCACCGGCATTATCCAGCCGTTCTTCTGATTCCGGAAGAAACTAGTGTCTAGGGCACAACTCTGATAAATCCTAGCTGAAGTAGTACCCTTTTTTAGGCTTCCCGCTCAACACGCGGTAACATTTATGAACACATCGGAGTTTATTCCACAGCAGGAAGGGCCTCCACTAATTTCACTCGACCCCAAGGCCAGGGATCTGGAACTCGATGATCGATCGCCGCCCCATCAGAAAAAATGCGTTCCTCGTTTGCAACGGAGAAGTTTGGTACGGCGGTTGACTGACATACAAGGATGTGGAGGATGATGATCCTGATGCCTTCTTCCTGCCCGTAAAGAACAATCCAGGATGGGATGAAAGCCCTGACCGTCTATGTCCATGCTCTTTCCTCGGCTCCTATTCTCATATTGCGACAATGTAGATCAAGGACCACGCCACCTTAACGTTGTGATTGGTGACGTTTGGAATACCTAATAGCTTCTGATCATCCTACGGGCGGAGACGACAAGCTCCAAGAACTTTGCAATCAAATCCGAAAAGCCCTCTAGCATTTCGGGTATTATGATGCAGGTGTAGAGACGAGGCTTAGCGTTTTCAGTACCAGCCGATACAGTAATGCGATCCCAAAACCTTGATCACACAAGCAGGAAAAGGGTGGCAGGCCACTCTATATAAATGGTTACGCAGCCCAGGCAGAATCAGGGACTCCAAAACCCCGTTCCCCGTTTGCGTTGCATTCCAGCCAGAAGCTCTAGAGGGATTCTGACCCGCAGAAAGTTACCATCCACGATAAATCAGCCCATCAAGGAGCGACCACCTTGCTCTTGCTAGATGACAAAGCCACTGCCCCGCCGAGAATTGTACGTATCCATGGGATTTTGAATCGTCATTCGCAAACTACTGCGCAACGTGGATTCATCGAAGTAGGGTTCTTCACCGTAGGATAAAACAAGACCTTTTGAACGGTGAAATTCATTTATGGATTGAACATTTGCACGACCCGCTACGGAGTAACGGGAGAATACGCATTCATTGCGTGCCAAATCCTGCATGCATGAAGACATCTGGTACTGATGTCTTAGTTCGATGAACTATCGGCCTGTCTTCCAACATGATTACTCGTTCCGGGTAAGGTGCAACAGCTCTCCGCAATGTGAGCAGAACTCATACACCAAATGCGACGCTACTAATTCGCACACCAAATGCACCAGAATGTCGAAACTTAACAGAGCCCCAACCACCCAGTTTGCATTTGCACATAGAGCTATTATTTAGACCCGCACCCAAGGATCTCACAATGGTCACAACGAACCATGCGTGCGCTCCATGTAGATAGTATAATGATTTCTAATCAAGCAAGGTGCGCCCAATGCAAATTTGCAAGTATCACGGAATCCACGGGTGGACATGCGAACACACCTCTGAACCTACTTCCCCACCAGCTTGCCAAGGGCATGTACACACTCTTGAAGGTGCGCCGTCACATCCTTTCTCAACTGGACTACCTCTGCTTCTGATGATATTCCGTAATCCAGGGATTCGGCCAATCCAGTTTCACTTTGGATGCGTTTCTCAAGCAGTTGATGGCGCCTCGAAGGGAACAGGTGATCCGAGAGAGGGTATAAAGGCCGTTGGGTAAAGAGCGGTTTTGGTGACTGCGAATACATAATGGTGTCGGATCTCCGCCGACGGCGATGGGTCTCTAACCTTTCGCCAAGCTCCATTAACTGTGCTGCTTTCTGCGTTAACGGTCCAAGTGGGGAATATGACGCTTTAAAATCTATAGGGTTTCCGAAAGTGATAGACACTTCGTGTTTAGGACTTAGGCGGGGTATGAATTTAGGAAAGGAGCGGGATTCGGGCATCAGTTTGTCAAATCCTGTATTTCAAACCGGTCAGCTAATCGTAAAAACTCAACTCCCCTAGAATGCTTCATTGATACCTGAAAGCCACATAGGTATTATCGTAGGGAATGCGCGAGTGTTCATGATGATTCTCCCACTAAGGTCAGGTCAGTTTCAGGGATAGACTTCTAGGCCGAAAGGGATAACTCACACGCCCCATCGAAACCTTAGCAGGCCTCCAGCCTGGTTGACATATCCTTCGGGAAAGAGATGTATCCAGGCTCCATCATCGAGTTTTCTTACTGCATCATTAACGGCCGGCTGGTATATGCCTCTCCCTCGAAAGGTCTCGATAACCTGCCCAGCACGGAAGAAGGAAGAGAATATCCTATTAAGCGCAAAGATTCAGTACTGCGGTGACCATCCATCGGTGATGACTAGAATGTTCGTACGGATTCGTGAACATGATATCAGAAGCGCCAAGTGTCCACCGCATATCACGAGGCCGGAAATATTGAGAGATCGGGAGGCACCCCCATACAAATGGTTCGTCTACCCTACATGACGCATAAAGTGTCAAGACTTGAATGGAAGGGTATCAAACGAACACTGAAATGTGATTAGAGACTTAGTAAAAAGAGAGGGTCAGTGAGATCTTGTCTAACCATGGAGGGGAGGCTAGGCAGGTTATCAGCCTATAGTGGAATAGAAGGGGATGCTTACTAGTTAAGACACCCTTTCCCCGCCCATTACTTTCTTTCAGAGCGCGTTGAAGAACGTCCAAACCGCTAACCTGCACTTTGTTGACATACAGGCATGCTTTGCTCAACAGTCCAACGAGTGGAATTATAGGTTTTAGCATGTCCTTTGCTGGGGGCGTCGTACTGTGGGTCTCGAGAGCTGAAGGTGGCAGTGCGATGTGAGAATTCAACGTGGGTGACGCTTACATAAGCTACATTCGGGAACGAGTACCGTCACAGTCAAACTTGACTTGGAGCCTGAGCATTAAAGTGAGCTTGAACCTTCCCATCTTTCCAAGTCTTAGGCCCTGAGCCAGCAGCAGGAAGATTTTACCAAATGGCCAAAAACGAAGCTATCTTCATGGGTTCCGATCCACCCTCCACACACCATCCCCACTCTTTCAATCTCACTACCAGTGGCGACAATACCAAAAATAATACCGATACAGACACTGACGTTGTGAACTGTTCCTCTTGCTCTCTTCAACAGCCTTCTTCATCGTGCGATGCCACATGCGAGGATGCCTGCTTCATATGCAATGCAGCGCAGCAACCCCCTCTTGAATCTTGTACCAAGAATTGCATCCTCCTCTGTGATAATGATTGCAATCAGGAAAACATCTGTTCCGATTCCGATTGTGATGCCCTTATGAATTTACCCGATCTTAATTTTAATTGGGAGGGGTGGGCTTGTTTTGATCCTTCCTGCGCACAGGCGGATGATATGGTGCGTCGTGTTTTACCTTACCACTCGTAATAGCCAGTCTTCCACACACGCACAGCTGCTTGATTGCTGCTCGACGTCTCACGATGACCTTTTCCCTCAAGCGTTGAACCCCTGTTGGAATACATCTGGTGGTGTTGGTGTCGGCATCGGAGAAAGCGCAGAGATGCTATCTTCTCTGCCTTCTTTACATCTTTCAGCCTCGGGGTCGTTATCTTCGCCGCCAAATCCATTGGACAATGGGACGATCACGCCCAGGAATGCTACATCCGTCGAGCAACTAACGATGGCTCAATTGGACAATGCGTTATTACCTTCCAGTTCTTCCACAAATACGCACATGGCTATGGCGCCAGCATCATCCAGGACTCGTCACCCTAGCGCCACTGTAAATCCAGGGTCACTGTGCAATTTTGTCTCAGGCGACTATCCCCTGAGTTCTCAAGGGGGTACGATCTGTCAGTGTAAATGGACGAACTGTAATCAGATCTTCATGAATGTACATGAACTATCTCATCATGTTCACAGCAAGCATATCCCCCTTCCGTCCATGGCTTCCTTTGATCCCTCTTTCTCCACGGCCGACGCCGCAGGTAGTACCACAAACACAAGCACCCTTAGCGCCCTTTACCACCGCGAACACCCATGCGAAGAAATTGTTAATTGGACTCGACCCAATGCACCTTTCCCATATCCAGTGTCTGCTCAAAGACATCCCGTTGACGAGAAGCACTCCTCCACGCACGCAGAACATCACCATCACCTTTCGGACCCGCCTGCAGCGGCAACTTCACATCATCATCATGCTCCATCATACTCATCCTCGTGCCATTTCCGAAGCCGCCCTCATTCTCGTCCTCCCCAGCTCCATCATCCGTTAATACCCTCACCACCTCCTTTAATGTCCTCACCTCCGTTTTCGTATACATCACCCGAAGTTCCCTCTACCCCATCTTTGTCAAGTGTGGATGGGGATCTTGAAGCAAAGTATTCGTCCGAGATCAGCTTATTACCCACTCTACCTTCCTCACACGATCAATCCGAGTCTCACTCTTCGCGATCCCCTCACTCACAACTGCCACCTGAATCTCGGCAATCAGAAAGTGACCCGCAAACGCAACAGCAACAGCAACAGCACCAGCACATATGTCGATGGAAAGACTGCTCAGAGGCCTTTTCCAGTTCTTTACTTCTTACGGAGCATTTGACGTCGGTGCATGTGGGGTCCGGCAAGAATATCTATGAGTGCTTTTGGGGGGGATGTGACCGGAACAATTCGGGTTCTGCTGCTCACTCTACTTCTCTTGGCGATGAAGGAGGTGGAGAAGGTGGGAAGGGTGAGAAGAAGGTGAGCGGTAGACAAGGTGGAAGCGGTGGAAGTGGAGGTGCACTCAGCAGTAAACAGAAGATTCTACGACACCTTCAGACGCATACGGGGTACAGACCTTTTAGGTGTGAAAGGTGCGGCCAGTGCTTTTCGGAGGCTGCTACGCTGCAGCAGCATAAGAGGAGGCACACCAATGAGCGTGAGTTTCCACCGTTTCCCTCTTTTCAGTTGCCTTTGTCTGCGTTTTTTTTCTTGTGCTCATTAATTCTACCCTCTTTCGCTAAACCCTAATGTTGATGGTCGACGGGAATCTCGCCTCGTTGAATCGGGTTCTGGATGGCTGTAGGTCCCTTCGTCTGTGACGAACCGGGATGCAGTAAATCCTTTGCGATCGCTGGTGCGTTGACGATTCACAAGAGGACGCATAACGGACATAAACCGTTCAAGTGTACACATTGTGGGAAATGTTTTACGGAGAGCTCGAACTTAGCAAAGCATGTGCGTTCCCGTGTTCTTTCTGTTTTCTCCCCCGCTCTTTGCTTCCGCTCCCTTGTAGGCAGGACATTACAAGTTCCTTCTTTTTTCTAAGTTTACTAATGAATGGCGTTGTTTTTCTTTTTTGTTTCTAGATTCGAACGCATACTGGTGATAGACCGTACGTTTGTTCCGAAGCGGGATGTGGCAAACGGTTTGCAAGACCAGATCAGCTCACGCGACACGGAGCGGTTCATCGGAAAGCCATAGCAGTGTCTCCCTGCTTCCCATCTGCCATGGCCTCTCCGCCACCGGAGTCCGATCTCTGCACCAAACTCTGATCCTGACTCGTAATAGAAACGGTAGCAACGTCCGAGGGTTTGGTGAAAAAATCAGCTGCTGTCGCTGAGTGGTGGTAATGGCAAGGACGTACAGATCGATGCTATTGCGAAGGTTTTTAAGGAGGCAAGTTTGCTTACCACTCACGGCTGGATTTAGAGTCAGAGCATACCGCGTTGGGAGATTGGGAAAAACAAGCATTGGAGCGGTCCAGAAGCGAAAATCTGACGTTACATTGTTCGATACGACAAGGTTTATACCTGTCCATAGAGCTTCTACCTTTTCCTTGGTGATTTGTATGTGCGTTCTGACATGTTATGATCGACAGTGTTGCTGTATCCTTATATTAGCCTTGTTTGTTTCCATTTGGCTAGTGCCGTCTTATTTTTTTTGCCCCCTTTTGTCTAACCAGCTTCCAAGTCCGATTACATGCGAAATGGTGAAGTCAGATATTTTCTTATGTCGACGCGTGTACTTGCATGCTCTGTAGTTTGCCATCTGAATTAATATTCTCGCTGGCAACCTTTGTAGGATCGCAATAGTGAAGATTCAAGAAGGTGATAGGGCAAATCAGTTGCTGCTGCTGCCGATTACTTCCTCAGCACACGTTCCCACATAGTATTGCCCCAAACCCATGTGCAGCCCACCTTTCATGCTCAGCAAAGTCGGGTCACAGATTCTCACGGGTCGCCGATCGCACTATGCAAGTTACTACGCTCACAACCTCTTACGACTGTCTCAACCTAGATAACCTTGGGTGCCAAATCCACATTCCTCCCGTCCCTTATTCTTCGTATCTCCCTTGCTTCAAGTCGTATTACTACACCCTCCTAAGCGGTCAGTTGATGACATGAACTGAATTTCGTTCTATCAACAAAGATTCCAAAGGGAGGTCCAAGGTTAGTTTCAGTTCAACAGCGTTTATTGTTCGTCATTTGCTCATTTAGGATCTATGTGTTGTGTGTACAGTGCCTTACCAAGGCAGGCTTCGTTTCTGCCATCCTTAGCGCAGGCTACCACGTCGAACTTGCTGGGGGAGGTCATTACAATGCTGCTGCTGTTCACGCTAAGGTTGCCGAGGTCCAATGTATGGAGTTGGTTGTTGTTGTTGTTGTTTATTCTGGATATTTAACCTGCAAACTGTAGGCTGCTCGTGAGAGCGCCAAGGGCAGGGGTCGAGATAAATACACAAAAATAAGGTGAGAAGATAAAGAAATAAGCCCGATTCGGGTGTCCTCAATCTCTCTGATAAGGCGTTGCCCAAATGCTGCTCCACTTTTGAGTTGTCGTGTTGGGTTGACCGTTTTTAGGTGTCGGTTTCGAAAATGGGATGGGTTCCGCCTTCCAGCGGTGTCATATCTCGGGGTGTTATTCTGTCCTTCTCTCTTTCTCGTATGCTCCACTCGCTGACAGAAATCCTGCTACCCTCTCTATTCCTTTCTCGTCCACCAGGATGTATGGAGTTGGTATCACTTTGAATTCTTTATACATCAACCCCCGCCAGTTTGGATTCCAAGCCAAGAGCTGAAGCGCGAGGGCTTGCCCATTGGAGGTCTCTGCGCTGCTGCGGGTATTCCTAGCACTGAGAAAGCTGCTGAAATCATCGATGCACTTCGCGTCGCTGCTTCAAGTCCTCATTTCCTTGTCATTTTGCAGTGGACTGGCGGTCGTGCAGGTGGGCACCACCCCTGTGAGGACTTCCATCAGCCTATCATATGGTGCCATTCGTCAGCAACACAACATTTCGCTTATCGCTGGTTCCCGGTTTCGGAGACGCTGAGGGTACATGGCCGTATATCACTGGTGATTGGTCCGTGGAAGGGTGTGGCGTCCAGCCAATGCCTTTCGGTGGTTTTCTCTTCGCTTCGTGGGTTATGATAGCCAAAGAGGCGCACACATCCGATTCGTTAAGGAGCTTATTGTTAAGGCGGGAAGGGACGTACCAGAAGGAGACCGGTGGCATCCTTACTGTGCAGTCCGAGCTCGGGGAGCCGATTCACAAAATTGCGACTTGTGCCGTTCGGCTTTGGAAAGAGTTTGATAATACTGTGTTCAAGTTGCCAAAGGAGAAGCGTGCGGCGTGGCTGAAGCGGAATGAGGATTCTGTCATCGAGAAGCTTAATCGCGATTCCAACAAGCCTTGGTTTGCGCAGAAGAAAGATGGGGAGGTCGTGAGGGATCTTGGGGATCTGACGTATGAGGAGACAGTCCTTCGGCTCGTTTGTCTGATGTACATCGAGCACCAGAAGAGGTGGATCGACCTTACGCTTCGAAATCCCCTTGGAGACTGGCTCCGTCGTGTCGAGGAGCGATTCACGGGAGTCAATGGCACGCCGAAAGATCGATTCTGCAAAGTCATTCATCGCTTGGTGAGCCTGAGGTTTTCTTGAAGACGTTCTTTGAGATATATTCCGAATCTCAAGAGCAGTTAAAGGATACTTGTCGATTGCCCAACGGCCTGGTCAGAAGCCAGTGCCTCTCATTCCTGATCTCGATGCTGGATTCGAAGTCTGGTTCAAGAAGGTGCGTACTCCCACTTTTCTTTTGAGTGTACCGGGGTATGAACTCTGCCGCTCTCAGGACTCTCTTTGGGCAGCGGAAGACATAGAAGCCATCTTCGATCAAGATCATCGATGGGTCTGGATTCTCCAGGGTCCCGTTGCCGTCAAGCATGCCAAGATCGCTAATGTCCCTATCAAGAATATGCTTGGTGGTGTCCAAGATGCAGTCAACGTAATTCTAGTTGTCAGCGTAGGGAGAAGAGAGGGCTGCTGATTCCAAAGCCCCTGGTCCGACAGTTCCCGGTAAATTCGTGCCAATAGAATGGGCAGAAAGGGTGGGGAGCCCGCCACATACATAGGAAGCAGGGAAGTTTTTCAGCAAGCTAGCGTGGCCTTGGCCTGCCACACATCCTGCCATGCAAGCCAAGCAAAGGGTATTCCTGTGTAAGGGGTTGGTGTAGGTGCCAACCCTGGTTAGCCTAGTTCCTCAGGCTGCCAACAAAAGTAACTTGTATGAAGTTATTATTTGCAACAGTATGGGAGGAAAGGCTAAGTTGCTCTTTCCACTTTCCCACACTATTGTATGTACTTTGTATATATGTCAGAGACCAGGTTGAGACGAAGGAAAGTCTCTGTGGTGGAGGGCTTCAGCCTCAGCGACTTATGCCAAGAGCGCTGTGCCAAGTAACACATCCATGCCCTAACTTACTAACTGGCAACCAGAACTGAAAGGGGGGTAAACTCTAGTTGATTTTATTACTGAAGTGTAACCTATGTACAAGTTGGGTATATATAGTTGCAGCGAAGATGGGTCTGCAAATGACGGAGCCAAGCGGAGCGGAGCTAACGGGGTTAAACATTAGCTGACTGAATATTACCGACGAGTCGGGTTTATGGGGTTAACGGAAAGGCAGGTGATAACCCAGAAACGGAAAGGAGGGATAGGCCCGAAGGTAGGCTCTGCAGGGCAGGCGAGTGTATTGCCCAACGGAGGTGGGAGTGCGCTAGCGGACGTCGGAGCTGTCCGGAAGTCTTCGGGGCTCTGTACTTAGGGAGGCGTAGGTAATAAATTGAAAGGAGGGGGTGGTGACCATTGAGGGGTACCGAGGGGATTGCAGAATACGGGAGCTCCGAGGTTAGTGAAGGAGGAGCAGAGGTAGACCGGAGGGATCGGAGGGACCGGAAGTCGATGGCCGGGGGTGGATATGTGTCAGGGGACGACTCCCGGGTCCCCATGACCCTCCCCTATGGCCCACAGCCTCAGGTCTGGCCAGCCCTATCCAGGACACAATCTACTGTGGGTAAGGAGATGAATAGATAAAGGCAATGTAGAATACACTTGCCTACTGTGGGTAAGGAGATGAGAAGGAAGCTAACTTCTCATCTTCCCACAGTGGCCACAATATCAGCAAAACTTCCAGGGATACCCGGAAGTCACATGAAGGGGTAGGAACCGGGCCCGGAGCATGCGGGAAGCGTGGCGGGTGGAAGCGGGTCCAGACACGGGTCCGGGTCCGGGCTAGTCAGGGTGTGTGCCCTGACAATATGGCAGTATCCCCTTCTTAGGCCTGAACCCTTGAAGGCCCAGAATTAGTAAGGTGAGGGGAGCTGTACTTACAGAAAGAAAAAATGAGAAAATGAAAATGAAAACGGAAGTGAGGAGTGGAGGGAAAAAGGAGAAATGGGAGAGGAGTTGGGGTTCCTATGGGGCTTCGGGTCCAGGCTTCGCTGGGTACCGAGAGTGGAACGCTTCGACGAGGTCGGAGGCGTGATCAAGTTCGCCGGCAAGGAGCCATTGTGTCTCCTCATCGGTCCCTTCATAGCCTAGCCACTTGACCAAGTGGAGCAACTTGTTGCGTCTATGTCGGTTGATCTTGGAGTCGAGGATCTCCTCGATCTCGAACTCCATCTCACCTTTGATTTCTATGGGAGGCGGAGGTGGCTGGTGGCGGTTCGGAATGATGTTCGGGATGGAGGGTTTGATCTGCGAGACATGGAATACCGGGTGAATGGCTCGCATGTTTTCCGGCAGGCAGAGAGTGAGGGAGTGAGTTCCAACGTGGGCAATGATCTTGAATGGGCCGAGGTTTTTCTCGGAGAGCTTTTTGGAAGGTCGGGTGGAGCGGAAATACTTGGCCTTTACATAGACCGAGGTTCCTACTTCGAAAGCTGGGGCAGGACTCCGACAGGAGTCCGCCAGGCCCTGATAACGGATCTGAGTGAGATGCATTTCCTCGTGAAGGAAGTGGTGGAGGGAGTCGAGATCTACGGAGTACTCTTGGGCACGTACTGATGTCAGGTCTCGCTCCGGGTGAACAGTGATGTTCGGATGGTAGCCTTTGTTGGCGAAGAACGGGGAGACGCCTGTGGTGGCATTCAGAGCGTTGTTGTATGCGAACTCCGTGAGAGGCAGGAGTTCGGACCAATTGTCCTGCTGGTAGTTACTGTAGATACGCAGGTACTGCTCGAGCGTCTGGTTCATCCGTTCGGTCTGACCGTCTCCTTCCAGGTGATAACTGGAGGTGAAGTGGAGGCGGATGTCGAGGGCCTTACCAAGTGAACGGAAAAAATGAGAGACAAACTCCGGACCCCTGTCGGAGGTGACGTGGGAAGGAACTCCATGCTTGGAGAACACATGGAGGAGGAAGAGCTTGGCCAGTTCCGGAGAGGTGATGGTGTCATGGGTAGGGATGAAAATGCACTGTTTGGACAGGCGGTCCATGATGACCAAGATGGAAGTGAATCTGGAAGAGGAGGGTAGCTGTTCGATGAAATCCATGGAGATGGAGTTCCAAGGACGTTCGGGGATGGGGAGTTGTTTGAGTAAGCCGTAAGGCTTATGACAGGGGACTTTGGCACAGGCACAAGAAGTGCAGGAGGATACGTAACTCTTGACGAAGTTACGGATGCCCGGCCAGGTATACTCACGACGTACTAGATCCAGAGTCCAGTTTTGACCGAAGTGTCCAGAAAGTTGGTGGTCATGTTTGTCTCGCAAAACGCGGAGACGGTGTAGGAATATAAAAGTTACAACACTAAAACAACCAGAAACCATCACAGAAAATTGGATAAAAATCATACAACCTCCACGGACCAGAAATAAAAATAGGAATAAAATCATAACTCAACAAAATGAATTGAAATAAAATATCGGAAAAATACTGAAGAACAGAGTCGATGGATTGAGTATCTACGCGAACTTTCAAGTCTAGGGATTAAAAGATGGTTCAGAAAATGAAGAAAAACAGCAAATAAACTCACATGAAAACAAAAACAAGGTTTCCTGTATCAAATAAAATATTAGAAATTCGTGGCAATGTGGGAAAATAGTTTTACGAACGTACGAAACGAATGACAAAGAGAAATCGGAAGAAAATCAAGGAATTCACATAATGAAAAATGGTCGGGTACGAGGAAAAGATGAAAGAATTGGAAATATTTATACGAGGAAAATAGGGAAAAATATAAATATTTGTCGGTCTTAAAGAGTTGAAGTATAGGTCTGTGTTCGAAAAGATTTCATGTTAAAATCTGAAGAATTGAGGGAGAAACGAATTTAACAAGATTAAAACACACTTGCAGAGAAGACTGGCTCAAACATCCTGAGTTTGTGGTTAAAACGTATGAGCTAGAAATGCGAAACTAAAGAGTTTGAGTCCAGGAACAAGGCATAATTTATCCAGAATTAATCGTAGGAAAATGGATGAGCTAATGCCAAAGCAATCTGGAGAACCTCAAAATTAAATCTTGAAAAATTCATATCTTCATAAATAATCCTCGTAGTTTACTGTTGTTTATACCGACGGAAAGCTACACTCTTAAGCTAACAAATAACCCCATGACATGTGACTTAGAATAAAGTGAGTAAACAAGGGTAAACAAGGTCATGATGGGTGTTAGGCAATGCAATTGGCTAATTCCCACACCAAAACTTCCAGAAAGTTCTAGAAGCAGAATGGGATGCTGATCGCTTACATAAGAGGATTGCTAAACTCAATATAAGATTACTCAGCAATGTAAATAGTAAAGTGACCATGTGAAAACAGAGCCCTTAGGAAAGGTATAAAAGACCGCATTTTCTGGTCTGACCCCTCTTCCTTCTTTACTCCTCTCCCCTACATGCTCTGGCTCATAGGTCATAAGGCGTCCTAATAAAAATTAAGTTTTATTAGTATAAGTGTGCAGTTCAGATCACATCTGAGTAAAAGTGATCAACCCTCAGTAAAAAGTTAAGAAGAAGTTAAGAAATAGTGACGTTGAGTCAAGTCGGTTGGAGTCGCTCTGTCAGGGCACACCCGCCTGACCTGGGCCCACCCGGGCCCACCCGGCCACACCACACCCGCTCCCCGCTGTCTATCCCCCTCCCCCCTCCTTCCTCCCTCTCCTCCCCTTTCTTTTCCCTCTTCTTCCCCCCTTTCTCTATTTCATTCTTCTCATCTTCCTCCTCCTGTTTATTTCTTTCTATCTACACGGACCACCTTCCTTTGTATCGATGTACTATTGACCCGTCCGGCCCACACACCCCGGATGGCTTCCCGCTGTGCCCAGCACGCGCGCATGCAGCGGACACTCTTGGGATCCCCCACGGTGAAGGAGAGAACGAAGGAAGGTCAGTTGGGAGGTTCAAACGAGACCACCACCAAGCTGTTCCCTGGTTCTTTAGTTAGGATGGGGAAGTGTACTAGTGTTGTTTATTGTAAATATAGTACCAATCCGAGTGTTTTGGCTAATTCTATTTTTATGGGTTAGTTTTAAAGTTCCTGGGAATTGACTTACAGATAAACCGAGCCCTGCGGAGCTGTTTCTTTATTGAAATTTATTAATTTGTCTAGGTGTAATTCTGTGTAGCGTTGTTTAATTTGGATTTAAACTTGAATTTAATCTTCTACTTGGTGAAGTTTCAAAGATTCTATTCAGTTAATGAATTTGGATGGTGTCTGGAGCGTCCCTTGAGTTTGTTCTATTTTTGTCTTATTTTATTGCTTGTTTTAACAGTAGCAAAGTAACTGTTTTGTGTTTACACTTTGAAATCTGGAGTGTTAACCAGCTCTCCTGTTGAAATATCTACTTAATATTTCTCTCCTTAATTGCTGCCTTTTTCTACAGTGGCAATCTTAACTGTATATCACTTTTTCGCACTGGAGTGACAACCAGAAATGCTTGAGAAAAATAATACTCTATTTTCTTACTTCTCTCCTTAATTGCTGCCTTTTACTACAGTGGCAATCTTAACTGTATATCACTTTTTCGCACTGGAGTGACAACCAGAAATGCTTGAGAAAAATAATACTCTATTTTCTTACTTCTCTG